GGTGCTATTGCTCGGCCATGTGATCTGACTGGATAAACAGGTGCGCAACATTGAGCGTACATCTGTTTTCCATCTTAAGAGTGCACGCGGGGGGGGAGGGTGTAGTGCAGTTGTGTCACGGAGACTGGCGATGCAGTTGGCTCTGTGACTGCCCGTCAGGAGCTCTGTGAATGCTGTCAATTTGCTCGACGGCCGCCGTTGGGAGATGAGCGACCCCGTTCAGGGCTCCACGACCGTTGAGAACTCACGAATTTAGCTTGGGGCTCGATAACGGGTTACGATATGTTGTCGCTTTGATTTATTGTGTTTGAATTCACCAGACTATCAAAGGAGCTACGTTTTTAGAGATAACGGCGGTCATAGGTTCCATCATCATTTTCATCCTCCATCTTTTAAAAATGAAATTGTCATAATGCAATCATTATCAGCATCGTGCAACAATCATGCCATCATTACCCCCATCGAATGTGTTCTCATCACCTTTTGCATTTGTTACGGACCAGTACAGCATACAAACATTACTCTTTTGCATATGCCACCACAATCTCACCACAGTTCTTCTGTTAATGATATTGTTGAGCCATTTAAAAGGGTAACATATGTCATTAAAAAAAAACGTTCTAGCAGCCTCCATTTCAGCTTACCAACCAGGCAAAAGTCGGTGTGTCGGGCTTTTTAAAGCATTGTTGAATGGGAACAACAACTGGTGGAAATGGATTAAGAGCGTGCTGTCTGCCACGGTTGCCTGTAATTAGCCGGTGGTGATGGAAAGCACATCAACAGCTGGCCTAGGTGTCTCGGAACACCTGCTTTCCGTATGTCACGTGCTGGCACGCATGCGTGCAATGGCACTGTTTAAATTGTGATCATTAGCAGAAACCGTTTTGCTTCGGTTCCTAGAAAAAGCACTCGCTTAACGCCAACTCGGTGATTAACGCGTGCATTTGTAAATTGCCGGCATTACCACGCGCTTGGATAAATACTGAAATGTGCCCCTGCAATACGCCCCTGCAACTTACTCGTGCCAGAATTAATTATAAATTATGGGTTCTTTCGTGATTTTTGCACCATAATGGGGTATAAAAATTCTAAATCCCGCTCAATTGAGGAATTGCTGCATTGTGTATGAAATATATATGCATTTGTTATTCTTACATTTCCCTTTATTATATTTATTGTAGAATTAATGTAGCTTTTTTGCCAAATACGGTTAGTGTAGGATGCTTTCTGAGTGTAATGGTTATCGCACTGGACTTGCAGTCAAAGTGGGTACACCACACATGTGGGTACTCCCACCTCTTCCAGGGTGTTTGTCCCATGTGGTATGATAGACGAAAAATACCCTCTTAGAGGGGCTCTCAAGAACTCCCTCGAGTAGAGGCCCTTCTGCCAACATTGATGCGAGAAAGAAATTGCAGGGCTGCAATTTTTACCTTTGCCAATTATTTTTCGTGCTCACCAGTAGCTCAGTTAAAACAAAATCTATTTCAACTTCCCAGGTTGTGCATTGTGGTTACAGCACAGCAGTTGAAAGTACACAGTCTCCTAATAATTCACGGCTGCAATGGATCCCGTGTCATAAGTTGCAGAATTTAGCCATTTTTGGGTGGAGATGCAACCAGATATTGAGAATTGCCCACCAATGCGCTTTTGGACGCGTTGGTGTAAGCACAGTGTGTGGGACTGACCTTTATTAACCCAACTATTGAATTTTAACTGTCCTCTTTTTTTAATGATTGCCCTGGCCAAGATGCATGTTTGCCGAGTTAAGGCAGGTCGTCCTGTTGTTGAACAATTTCAAAGCAATGCGAAGTGTACAATTGCATGGAAATATTGGTCATGTGCAGTCCTTTGCTCAATCCACTGCTGGATGAAGGCCTTCCCCATGCCATGTGGGTCATCGTTATTGTTTGACCCTACATGTTTGACCATGACAGTACTTCACGCTGGCTCTTTGACCATGACCATACTTCATTATTCTGGTCAGTGTGGGTTGAAGGCATGGAAGGGACCGACGGGGTTTGGGGGGGTACAGCGTTGAGAGTAAGATGTCACTCGTCAGCTTAAGTCTAATAACCCATGCAATATAATATCGTTGGCAATGAAAGTTAGATTTTTTGTGGTTATGGGGGGGGGGTGTTAACACAGTAGGATTTGCTGTTGCTGTTTTTGTTATCACTCACTGCTTTGTACTCTCATCTGATCACACAGGGTGAATGACCCTGAAACTGCAGTCTCTCAGTGGGTCATTTCATCACTGTGGGTCTGGTGTCAAATGGTTCTTAGTAGCCGTCTGCCTGAGCCAATTGCAACAGATATACATCGTCTCCTGTTGATCTGCCATCGTTTATATTTAGTGGCAAATAGTGGCGTGCTGTTGTCGGTTAGCATTTGCCCAGTCTGTGTGCACTAAAGAGACTGAATATTCTTGAGGCGCAGCTAGGGATTGTGTACTGATGACAGTGTAAAATGTTGAACAGATTTTGTTCATGATATAGCCAATTTATAAAGTTTATTTTATGGAATAATACAAATTCAGCCCTTTGTCAATCCACTAATAGAGACATCTCCATGATCTGTCAATTGCGTTGGTTGTTTGGCCTGGTCAGTGTGGTTTGGTGAAGGGGTTTTAATGTTAGCCACGGTCAGGAAACCAACTTGGGTTGCCGAGTTCATAGTGTATTGCGTGAACCCACTGTACCATGACTCACCCCAGATGAAAGATGTAAAAAAAAAACGTTAAATAATGCTTAACAAAAAAACAATCTGTCAGCAAATGAAGTTTGTTTCCCTAAAAATTGCAACAGAAACAACATGGACTCGCAGTTACATGTTTGAGAAAAATCCTACAAGTGGATGTTTTCGTCTACGCAGAAGTAACAATGTGATGCTTAAAGTGAAACATTCATCTCAGCACGATTATGAAAGCCACTTGGTTTTTTGGCAGTCGCTGGATGAAACAGTGTTTGTTTAATTTAGAGAGGTCAAACAAGATCGTGACATGCCCGTGATAAGCTCTGCAGCAGACGGCAGTGTTTTGATATTTGATATGCGTCATCTGAATCTTTCCAAAGGGCCTCCCGAAGGTCATCACCACTTAAAACAAAGTTACAGTTTGCGTTGTCTCACCGTCTGTACTTGGGAGATACTGAATGGGTTGGGTGAGGTTGGTGCTGACCCCCATCATCCATTGTGTGCCATGATAGCCTCAGTCAAATACTTTAGTCCAGGGTTCTTCAATTATATTTTCCCATGGGCCACATAATAACAGTTTGTGTGTGCTGGTGGGCCATTGTAACATCACTCGTCAGACCTCGTAACATCATAACCTCTATACATGTCACCATTAAAATCTCTCCTCCCAAAGGCCTTGTTATTACTCTCGTTTTCATCTTATTAATTTGCCTCTTATTCACAGCTCTCATCTCGATCTGTCATGTCTCTCTTTTCGTCTTGCAAACCTCTACAATCTTCCATGTCTCAGCAGGCCACACCTCCGTAGGCCACTCTACAGCCAGCCTTTGCAGTCCACATCTGGCCGTCAATTGAGGAACCCAACCGTAGTTAAAATGTCTCGTTACAATGAGCATGGCGCCATGCTCTTCTCCCTTTGGCGCTGTGCCAGTGATGTGCATTCTATATATTGACAGCAGAGGGGCTCAGTCGAATGGCGCAGTCGGTGCATTACGGCTGAGATTTCAGATCGCAACTTTCCATATTGCGAGTCGTGGTCTCAGACACCACAATGGCATATGGTCAATTATCCAATCTCAATAGATGCCCGATATTAGCAACTGCCTCAACATACTAACCATACTCTTTGGTTCTTTCGGTAAAGTCACGATCGAAACGTCGTGATCTATTATTTTTTTTCTACCTACGTGACTTTATCGAAAGAACCAAAGAGTATGGATTCCTGCAGTCACGAAAGCTTCAAATCAAGACTAACTATACTAAGAGATTATCTGTTCACGCGTGTGTGTATGTGTTCGCGCATTCCCTTGGGGGCCTAGTAGCACAGTGGCTAGTATACAGAATCGTTTTCATCACGGTTGTGCAGCTGAAAACTGGATTTAAAATCAGTAGTTTGGTGGTGCAGGCTTAAAACTCTGAGCCAACCAGTCCACTCCATGTCTCTTACATGTAACGACTGTTCCCTCTCAGTTTGGTTTGTATGATCCAACTGCATGCATTCTTGGCCAATTTGAATATGAATACTTTCCACATCACCCCTTAGTTTATATCCTACTTTGGGTTGCCAGTGCAGTGCTCTGACCTCTTAGCCACCCTGCCACCTCAGTGGACAATCATATTCAATGTGATTGTCTCTTTGTAATCATTGGTGGCTGGGGCTGAGACCATCAGCTTGAGAACCCAGTCTAATCTGGGAAACTGAATTCAATCCCAAGATCTCAGCAGTACCAGCTCAGTGCTCTGCCCTCTTCAGCCATCCAGCCACCTCTAACCATATTTTCTTTACCCGGGAGGCAACATCATGCATAAAGGGCATCTGAAGGTTGCGAAAGGGTGTGAAGTTTCAAATTTTACGTGATTACTTTTGTGGAAGTCATTAGGATGGGTAGAGACAAAAAAACCTAACAACTTCGTTTTGTATGTATGTTGAACTGCTTTCGCACCATATGTAGCAAACCGTGCTAATCGAAGGTGTAGTTAGCCATGTATCAATCGGCATTGCCAGATGGAACTATGAACTGATCCCAAAAATGTTTGCGTGTGCGAGTGGGTCAGCCTCATCATACATTCTGCTTGGATTGACATATCGCGGTGAGATCTGTCTTGACAATAAAGTACTTAGCGCATATTCGAGTATTTGGTTGATATAAATTTCCACGTGATAAGCCACTTCGTTTTGCTGTCATTTGTGGCCCGGACGCTTCTGAAAAAAGAGCTGTAGAGCTCAGTGGGCCTTGCCTGTCAAAATATTTTTAAAATATATTTTTAAGCACCCTTGGCCATCGCGTTGCCTCATTCCTTCACAGCTCCAGGCGTGCTGTCGGGTGGCTTGACGTTGGCGCTGGCCGGGCCGCCGCCTGCGTTCGTGGAGACGCGCGAGTGTGTCTACTTCAACCTCAACTGGGAGAAGGAGGGCACGGCCGCCGGAGGCACGGAGGCGTGCGACGGCGACCGCGAGAAGCGGCAGCACTGCTACGCGTCGTGGCGCAACGTGTCAGGTGGCGTGCGGCTGGAGAGGCAGGGGTGCTGGCTGGATGACTTCAACTGCTACGACAGGTGAACCAGCGCGCCGTGGGGCTCGGGGGGCATTCGGGAGGTCGCCGTCGCTTAAGCGGCCGCAAATGAATCGCTCGTCGGCAGCGGTGGTGGTGGTGATGACGACGAAGAGGGTTCGCGGTTCGAATCCGGAAGCCACCCTGATTGATACCACGTGGTGCATTGTCCATATGACGAGATGTGCAGTGGCCACCTACGGACTATCAGCCCATGGACCATGATGATGATGACGATGCTGCATTGCCCGTAAAAATACATGCTGTCTGCTTCGCAGTGGACATTAAAGATCCCCTTGAAGTCGTCCGAAAGGGTAGGCCTCATCGTGTTCTGGGTTCGCAGTCCAAATTTGGCTGATTTTAAAAATTACCCGCAAGTTACTCGGTTTGGATACGCATTTCAATCCACGCTCCCTCCTGCAACAACTTGGCAGGACCCTCGTGAAAAAAGAGTCTTGAGCCTCAGTGAGGTTTTCTTGGGTAAACAAAGCATACTTCAGGTTTTACTGGTAGGAACGAAGTTGTAAACTGAGTGTACCAGCCTGCAATAGATTAATGTGTCCGTCCGTCCCCTTTCAATACTTTATTTCAATTAAAAAAAATTACGTCTATAGCAAACGCAAAATTCCAATGTTCCTACCAGCCCACCCTGCAGGGACCTGTTATTCACTGCTGGATGAACGCCTCCCGAAGCCATCGCTAGAATGTTTAATTCCCACCAGTCTTTCAGGGCTCGTATGCAAGGCGATAAGCACACACAAAGAAACGCCCATAAGTGATTTAATGACGCCGTTGAAGCCTTTGGAGCGCCACCTAGTGAATGTGCTGGTAATTTCTCTCCATCGGTCAACTGTGTGGCCCTTTTGTGCAGGAAACCTCCGGAGAGTTGGCCGTGATTTATAGCGCCCTCGCTGCAGCACATTTCCACACCGGATGCCACCTCTAATTCGCAGACCCACTATGCAGGGCTATCGCTTTACAGCTCCCTGCAAGAATCCACAAGCGCCGAACACTTACACAAGGGCCCACTGTATGTCGCGAAACTGAGATTTCAGCTGACTTATCTTAGTCGCTCAACTGACCGGGCATGCATTACTTACGGAAGGTAACCCTTAAAGTTCCGTGCCATATTCGGTGTGTCTTTTATTTTTTTCCTGGTGAAAATCCACTGATATACTGCATCCATGAATGTGTAATTAATATTATAATGGGACATCAAACAGCAGCTGTCAAGATATATAAACTAAGGTGGGGCATAAGGAAGTTATCAAATGTATTTGTAGTCAGGTTTTCCAAGATTGCGAAAACAACAATTTCAGGTTGTCATAGAAACCCAAATGAAAGGATACGGTTGTTAAATGTTAAGGAATCAATGGGGGTGGCCGGGTGGTTCGGAGGTCGGAGCACGCGGCCGGCATTGCTGACTGGGTTTGGGTGCTGTTGTGAACCAGGTTCTCAAAGTATTAGCTAGTTGGTCTCGGCCCATTCACCACTCACTGCTCAAAACAGCATTCACGTAAAAATTCGGCCCTGCTCTTATTTTAGCTAAATTCCAATTTAAATTAATAGCTTTACTTTCAGGTAATGAATATTAATCTGCAAAAGCATGGGAAAGTTCCGCACTCTAGTGTACGGATTAGAGCATGCTGGAATGGATCTCAGAAGTAGTTCTGTCATATCTGCTTTAACCAGCGATTCTCTTACAAGGGTGGGGCGAAGGTTGCATTACTCTGCAACATTTCTGAACAGATTTTCCATCGCATGTCATCTTGCCGATCAAGTATTATTATAGGAATGTTGTGGGTTTGTCAGGAATGTAGGCACATTCTCCATATCTATCATCCTGTATTTACATCCTGAAGCTCCTCGGTTCACCATTCATTGACAGTTTCCACACGGTTTTTATTTCCAGTTAATTAATTTTACTTGTGCATTGTGCACCACTGGAACCCATGAAGGCGATCGATCACATTAACTCTCGCCCTATTTACTAAACAACCACAGTGTTCCCACTCGTCTTAATTTGCGTCTGCATTGTGTATTATCTTAGTGTGGTCTGGGACTGTTTTTTTTTTCTGTCCTTGTCCAAGCTTGATAAATTTGACTCAAATAAGTAATTTATATTCAGTGACTTGCTTATCCTTTTCTACATTTTGCACTCCTATATGTTTTTTTGTTGTATTGTTTGTTGTTGTAACCTGCTGACCACCCCGCCACCATACTTGACATCTGTGAAAAAAACCGAGCTTCTTAGAGCTCATCGGATTCCTCCTCCAGCAGTCTTAAAGAAAGACTCCGATTGGTTCTGATGAGCAGGAGCGAGTGCGTGGAGTCGAGCGAGAACCCCGCCGTGTACTTCTGCTGCTGCGATGGGGACCTGTGCAACGCCATGTTCACCCACCTGCCCGTCCTACAGCCCCGGGCCCACGGTCAGTGTGTCGGGAACACACAAAAGACAACGGTTTTTTTTTTTAGTTAAAGCCGCCGGAAGAAACCTTAGAGCTGTTGTTAAGTTATTTTGTCACAGGTTGTGTCCAAGCTCAGCTGGTGGGCAATGGCATTTTTTTTGTTTACAGAGGGGAAGGTAGGTACGTTCAACGACCGTACGCAAGCTTGAATGAGACGGCATAATCATTTAGAGAGACATTTTTTTTTATCCAAAGCAAATAGTTAAACATTACACAGAGAAATGATAAATTAGACATTCACAGCTATCACACCATAGTTCTCAAAATCACATCTGCATGTCAGAGTTGACAATGTGAATGTCGTTGAAATCCAGCACATCCATCACAAACCCTGGTTCTAAATATACAGCTGTGAGTTTTTTTGTTAATGCTCAAATGAGTATCCCTAAGCCATTGGTGGAAAATGCCACATTCCCATGGTAGAAACAAAGTCTCCTCTCCCTTAGACAACCACGTTTGACTTTCCCACGAGGTGGTACGTATTTTATGGACCCTGTAAGGGGTGATGGGCTGAGTCAACAATCCCCAACCAGGATTTGAACTCGCAACCTTCCCTTTGAGAGCCGCTCGCTCTACCACTCAGCCACGTGGTCGGTAATACCAGTGCATCCTCAAAATAATGTTGGCGGATATATACCTTGCATTTCCTGTGTATCATGGGTTAGAAACAGTAGCGGTGCAGTCCTGAAATTGCTGGCTCATTATCGCGATGGCGGAACGGTCTCAACCAGAGGGAGCTCTTAGAGAGCCGCTCTAGGACTCCCGTACGCTTCAATATAAATTACCAGACAGCAGGATTTGAACTGTTTACCCCGTCAAAACCGGTCCAGTAGTAAGCTTGGGTTGCCAGTGGAGTCTCAATTCCCACAGCCACTTTGAATTTCCTGTGGCCCAATGTTCGAGTGTGTGTAATCTTCTCTGAAGTAGATATTTTAAAAAACCTGGACTAATTTTGCAATAATATTATATTTACTTGTCACTGTCATGACCTAAATCAAATCTTTGAAGATCGCTTCACCGTGAAATAATTAATTAAATACTGCTTCTGAAAACCTACAGTTACATAGGCTCTAGCACCATTACATTTTTAAAAATGGAAAAAATTAATGGTGCAGCCCTGCAATTGCCTGATTTCATCACTACTCGAAGAATGGCCTTCACTAGAAGGAGCTCGAGAGAGCCCCGCCAGAGGGTACTTGGTCTGCTCTTCCACCGTTGCCAGACGTCATGGAGAAGCTGGGCGTACCCACACTCTATCCCACTACATGTGACCCACCACTGATTGACTAACATTGGACACCGCTAAATTAAGAGCATTTAATAGTATTCGAACCGATGATTCCTGGGTCCACAGGAAAATGCACTCAACCATTCGGGCACCCAACCACCAAGTAATATTAATGATCTCATTCCTTGTAAATATTTTAGTATTTCATGCTCATATGGGCAGTTCCTTGCTCTGCAGTGATGCACTGTGTAGGGCTTGTATAAACACGAGCGTTAAAGCTGGAACTACAGACGCCTACAAAAACACACGGCGCTGTAAACACTCGCACAATGTATAATCAATTTGCATCGGAGACCAGTGCATTTGTCGCAAACTAAGTTTCCTATTTCACAATGAATGGTTTTACAGTCCATTAAAGAAGTACCACGCAGTGACTTTATATCGACCTGTTCTCGGTCAGCAAATGTACGGGTTTGGTGATACTGCATTGGCAGTGAAGCTCAAGCACAAATAACAAAATGACTCGACACATTCGTCATTAACACTGGCCATAAAATGACATATATAGGTGACATTTCTGGCAATGGGCTTTCATAGAACATCAAAGTGCAATGACGAAGGGCCATCGTTTGTGCTGTCGAAAAGGGCCATTGCACTAAATGTCAACTATTATATGTTTTTCCTGTTAAGGCAGTGGTATTGATGAATGTGAGTTTTTTTTTATATTTTCTCATCAAGCACATTGTCAATAATTAATGTAGCACTAATTTTTCTGAATTTTTTTTAATAAACAATTTTTTTTCCTATTTTTGATCATGAACAAAAAACAATTATTACTTTGCAGAAGTGAAAATTGCATGATTTTGCACGTGGTAAAACATATTCAACATTAAAGACATTTGTTAAAAAGTCACATTTCAGATAAATAAAATAGTTTTGAGCAATTCAGACAGCCAGTTTAATTGTGTTCCAGATGATCTTCACGAAGGCGGACATTAATTTTGGCCAGATCTGTCCAGAAAATACTTCCACACCAAACAAACCACATTCGGTAGACCTCTTGCTGTGGCTGTGGCTACGAGTCATGTGCCGCTTATTCCAGTCCACAAGTGGCCCGGAATTTAGTCGGTGATAAATTAAACCTTCGGCATCTACGATCACGATCGTACTGCCATATTGCATGTGGTTGCTAAGCATGGTTATCGGCACGCTTGTCTACCCATACAGCCGGCACGGTTTCACTGGCGGCTATTTGTATAAATTAATCCGAGACTCTTTGTAATCTGGCGTGGAGTGTGGTGCTCTGTGCACTCTGCTATAGTCTTCTTTCGTATGATGGGGAGTTGATCAGCAACGTTTATTTGTTCATGTCGAGGTTGGCGAGTGAGCCAAGTAACTTGGTGAATATCTGAAATGCTGCCGGCGAATGATCAAAAGCGGGCATTGGTGTGATGATTTTTCATCCTCATTAATTGTTTTTGCATGCTTAGGTTTTCGCAGTTGTGCTGTTATAGCTCGCCAAATTGTTTCCGGGCAGTGCCGCTTTTGGTTTGGAGTGATGTCCGACGTTTCGCTGAAGAAGCTCCCTGGCACGCTTACCCAAACGCCTCTTACCCCTCCTCCATCATTAACACCGTCATCCCCTTTCCCAGCTTCGCTACCCTTTCATCACACTCTTCACTAGACACTCATTGTCACGTTCATCGATTGTTTATTTCGCAACATCATCATACTCACGTACTACCGTGATTCTCATAAACTCATCTCACCTCATCACACTTTCTGCTGTACAAAATAATGAATTCTTTGTTCAGCGCCTTGGTCATCCCGAGACTCCTTGTAATCTCTCCTGGAGTGTGGTGCTCTGAGCGCACTCCAGGACGGCACAATGCGCTGTATCAATTAAAAAACGATAAGGTGACCCTAACTGGCTTACTGTTGGGACTCCTGTGCAGAGGGGGCTCAGCCCGGCGTGGCGGAGAGGCAGTCCACGGCGTCGGGAGCCTTCCTCTACACGCTGGTGCCCCTGCTGGCCGTCACGATGGTGCTGCTGCTGTCTTTCTGGACGTACCGGCACCACAAGCTGGCGTACGCGCACGCTGCACTGCCTCCACAGGTGTGTGTGTGTGTGTGTGCGCATGTGTGCTCCAGGACACGATGTGGGGAGCGGTAGTGTAGCGGTTAGCGCGCTGCGCTATGAACCTGGAGACCCGGGTTCGATTCCCGCTCACGGCCAACACCAGTGACGATTATCTGAACCGGTCCTGGGCCTCCCCTAGGTCGACTCGGCCTCAAATTAGTACCTGGTGCGGTGTGTAAACATCGCCACTGGGGAGACAAAGGCGGTCGGGCGTGGTGGTGCCCACCCAACCCCTCGTGTACCGTTCTGGCCTTCATAGGTGCTCGCTAACAGCACTTGCCCCTACAGTCTGTTAAGGCTATACGGGGGATCTTTGTCTTTGCCCAGGACACGAGGCGGCGGCCGGCATTTGTCGCGTGCTTTTGTGTAAAGTTGTGGGAATAACAGGGACGCGTCGGTTTGCTTGCGAGTTAGTCCCATGGAAGAGAGAGGTACAGAGTGTACGATAGTACATCACGTATCCAACCGTCACGTCCGGTTGCCCTGAACAATGAATCACTATTCATTCGTAAGTACCTGTCTGATGTACAGTGATGCTGACATATTTTCAAACTTAGAAATAATTGACTCTTACACGGACACTGTGCATGTATTGTGTTCATGAATAAAAAAAACCCTTCTAATTCAAATTATTTCAATTGTGAAAATAGTTAAACATCTCCTTTATGGTGGCTGTTGACAATAACCCATTTCTCTAGTTATAGAGTTTATGGTGGTGGTATGTATGTATGTTGATCTTCTTTCGCACTGTACATAGCCAACCGTTCTAATCGGAGGTGCGGGGGAAGGACAACAAACTAAACACAGTGGGAGTAGTGTTTTTTGTGGCAGGGATGAAGGTGGTGATGATGACGATGTTGTGGTGATGGTGACGGTGTGGTGGTGGCAGTAATGATGGTGGTTTGGTGATGATGATCTGGTGGTGGTGTGGGTGGAGGTGGTGATAGTGATGGTGGTGACGGTTCTGTTGCCATCAGGAGGCAAGCCTGGCACCCCCGTCGCCCGTGCTGGGTTTGCGACCCGTGCAACTGCTGGAGTTGAGGGCTCGCGGCCGCTTTGGCTGTGTCTGGCGCGCTCAGCTACTATCCCAGGTCGTCGCTGTGAAGATCATACAGCCCGTGGTAAGACTGCACACACAGGCCCACGAAGGCTGCTGTGCCACCAATCCACCTGGAAATATTCCTGTCGATAGTTCATGTTTTTTAATTGCATAGAAATAAATGATCTCAATGGAAAGACAACACAACAGCCACAGGTGATACCTACTGTGATTCATGGCAGCGGACACTTGAAACTCGCAATATTGCAAGTGATGTGATCGAAAACTATTTGTATTCTGTAAAAGCTGTATGGTGCGTGCAGGACTTCATATCAGCTAGGTTTTTTCAGATCGGTGACCCTGAAAATACTTTCCCCACCCGGCACACCACGTCCAGTATACTACTGGCTATAGCTGTGACTACCTAGTCACGTACTTACTCCAGTCTTATCAGCAACCCAGGATGTATGCAGTAAGGGATTACATCATTAGACCTCCTTTGCCACTACCAAAATATAATAATAGGGTTTTTCCCCTTTTGGCGTCCTCTAGTCGAGCACCAATTGGGTCGAGGCTCAAAAGAAAGCCGTCCCTTGGTGTGGACCAATCGGTTTCAAGGACAATGCATATATTATCATAGTGTGTTTTTTGTTTGCATTTGACTGCAAGTATTGTGGTTAATGCAGACATGAATCCTTGTAAAAAGGTTTCAGTTTTGTTGCCAGAATAAAGGGGAAAAACCCTGTTATTACAGTAAGGGGTTGTTATGAAAACAAGTACCTTTGCACATGGTGGCAAAACTTTTTATTAGGAAGCAACTGCAGCTATGCACTTTTAAATCTGACAAAATATTTCTTTATAACTGCTTTTTGTGTTTTAGTTTGTTGTCCTTCCCCCACACTTCCTATTAGCGCAGATGGCTATGTACAGTGCGAAACAAGTTCAACCTACATGCATTCGATCTTTAATTTGTAATCTTTATTTTGCATTGTTTGTCGTCTGGATGCACGCAGAATAAACAGTCGTGGCAGAACGAGATGGACATATTCCAGACGCCGGGCATGAGGCACGAGAACCTGCTGGAGTTTATCGGCGCCGAGAAACGGGGAGCGAACCTGGACATGGAGATGTGGCTCATCACCGCCTTCCACGAGCGGGTTCGTGCGCGCAAGCGCCGCGCTCGCCACCATCATGCGCGATCGTGCGCAGCACCTCCGATTGGCACAGTTGGCTACGTACGGTGGCGAAAGAAGTTCAAAGATGATCAGTTCCCCGTGTAACTTTAACAGACTGTTGGGGGCAATTCCTGTAAGCGAGCAACTAATGAAAGCCGGCACGGCACACAAGTGGCCGGCGCCACACCCGTCCGTCTTTGTCTCCCCATTGGACATGTTTACACACCGCCCCAGGTACTCATTTGAGGCCGAGTTGACCTAGGGGAGGCCCAGGACCGGTTCAGATTATTTTCACTGGTACATATGTGCTGCGGCTCGCACACACGCGACAGCAAATCGAATCGCATAACAAGTCCGTTTGCTTTTTGTCGCGCCGTAAAACAAAAGTTCCGTTTCCAATAACTCACAGCTGCCTAATGTTAATGCGTGGTGGTGGCGGTGTTCTTAATGCCGCATTGCTGCTGCCGGCCGCGTCTCATTCTGCTAGGGCTGCCTGTCGGATTACCTCAAGGGCAGCACGCTGTCATGGGCGGAGCTGTGCCACGTTGCCGAGACGATGTCGCGCGGACTCGCCTATCTGCACAGTGACGTCCATGGCAAGAACGAAGGCAGCAAGCCGGCCATCGCTCATCGGTACGTTAACAGCCTGGCTGCCGTTCGACTGTCATAAATAAAACTATAAACTGCAGGGTGTTTTAAAGTGATGGACCCGATTTGGAATCGCTGTATCTCTGCAACCACGAACCGCCCATTAATGAATCTCTCACCACTTGAAAGGGCGGGGCATAGATGTTCAAAATGATTACCGCTAGATGCCTCTCCCAGCGCACAAACAGCCCCTAGCCTCAGTCATTCGCAAGACGGTGACCCCGCAAACACACAAGGGGCGTTTTGCGTTCTGCAGTTCATTAAGACTGAATTTGTAATTGCGGTGCGGTGTGCGTTTCAACGACGTTTTGGCATAAATCCGCCAATGTCAAAGAGCATTTGTCATTGGTACCGACAGTTTGAGGAAACAGGCTGCTGTTGATGTAAGGGGAAGAGCACAGGGTGACCACGCACCTCAGAGGAAAACGTGAGAAGAGAGGCGTTTGGGACAAATTCAACTATCGTCTCGATGTTGTCCGTACAGCAGGTGGAGGGCACATAGAGCATTTATAAAATGGTTAGTAAAACTTGATAACTCATTAAACCGTTGGTAATTTTTTGTGTAATTGTAACATGTTGCCATCGTGAAATATACTGCTTTGAAATTGGGTCCATCGTTTTAAAACACCCTGTATATTTATTTTACCAGGTAAGTCCCCCCACTGAGCTATATAGCACTCTTTCAGAAGCGATCTGGCTATCACAAACGATAGCTCAACGAAGTGGCTTATCACGTGGAATTGTAAAGCAGCCAAATACTCTGAATGCACGTTTCTAAATGTGGAGAGAAAAACCAGGGGACCTGGAGAAAAATCCACGCAACCACGGGCGTCAGCATGGGGATCGAACCCACGACATCCTGTATGTCCGGCAAAGTAGTTAACATCTCGCCACCGTGGCGCCCCCTTATACCACTGGCATGTTGGAGCCGAGACGACACGGAGGGCCATCTATGGTACGTGTGGTTCTCCACTGGCTGTTTGCTAGGGCTAGCTGGAAGCAAAAAGTCTCAGGACTGATTTTTTTTTAAATGCGAAACCACAGCATCACCAGGCTGGATGCATACATAACCATTTTTTTTAAAGTCGGTGATTTCCTGCCCAAATGAGCATATCAGGTGATACTCAGCTTCTTTTTACAGCCCTGAGCCACTGGTGGAAATTCCACTTTCCTATGGATGAGTGAAGTCTATTCATAAGACGGCCAACGTCGACTAACCCATGAAGTGGTTCCCATTTTCATGACCCCATATTGGTGATGAGCCGAGTCAAAAACTCCAACCAGCATTTGGACTTGGAGCCTCCTGATTGCTATAGCGCTGAGCCGCCTGGCCACATATATATACAGCGCAACATATCGCATACAAATGCATGCACAAACATCAATCACTCGGATACTCCATATTTATTGTATTAATAATGTTGCCTAACCTTGTATTTCATACTGCTGTGTAATTGTAATTTGTAAGTAATAGGCGATGCCTTTCTAATAATTTGAATGCTCACACACACGTACTCGCGGCCAGTGCCCAACATTAACCACATGCCCACCCCTGTCGTTCCTGGCGGTCTTTCTTTCGTGCAGTGACTTCAAAAGCAAAAACGTGCTTCTGAAGAACAACCTGTCGGCTGTCATCGCCGACTTTGGGCTGGCGCTCAAGTTTGAGCCGGGATGCTCACCTGGGGACACCCACGGACAGGTTCGTACTCTGGCCATCCATACTACGCGAACTTTACAAACGAAACTCAAATGTTTTTTTTAATTTACCAGGTAAACTCCACTGACCTATTTAGCTCTTTTTCAGAAGCGACCTGGCCTTCGCAAATGATAGCTCAACGAAGTGGCTTTTCATCATGTGGAAATGTATAGCGGCCAAATACTTTAATTGCATGTTTCTAAATGTGGAGGGAAAAACCAGAGGACCCGGAAAAAAATACACGCGACCACAGGGAGAACATGCAAACTCCAAATTTACAGGCATTGTCAGGGTCGGGATCGAACCCATGACCTTCTGTATACCAGGCGAGGGAGTTAATATCTCGCCACCGTGGCGTGATGAACTGTTCAACACGAAACGTCCTCTCCACACCGGTCGGATCCCAATCAACGTACCAAGACGAAGCCACGGGGGCGGTGACGCGGCCCAGCGGTTGGCTCGTTCGCCGCTAGTTGCAGAGGTTTGCCGGTTCGATTCCAGCAGGCCACCCTGGCTATTGCTTAGGATGTAAAATACTACGCAACCTCTGCTGCACAGTGGATGCTTAAGATCACCCTGACGTCATTCTAAATGGCATCGTGCTAAAAAAAATTGCCAATTTTTTAAATGACACGCAATTTACTCAATTGGATTTCACGTAATGATCACTGACCCCCTACTCGCAGGCTAATGCCCGCTTGCAGACCAGGTGCCGAGTCAACTTGTACCGTACAGGGACCGAGGTGGGTTGGGGGGGGGGGCTTTCAAACGGGGGCAACGTGTGATGTCACTTCTCGCGTGTAAAGCACCTTGAGACGCCCCAGCAGAGCATAAAGGGTGCTCTTTCAAAACTGTTTATTATTCTGGTGACACACACCTCTAATGCAGTACTTCGAGGGGCCTGGGTTGGTGTTTCACATAGATTTGTGAAATTCCCCAATCCGCTGGGGTATTGAGGTAGGAAGTGCAGCTAATGCGTTGATGAACCTGTATGTGTGTTATCATTGAGCGTTATTAACTTCAATTCATGCACGGGAGAAGGTGGGGGGGGGAATATTTTCCAGACCTCAGCCTTGGACGGTTCTGGCAAAAGCAAGCGTTCATCTCGAGTCCTATTACGTGGGGCAGAACAGAAACACAGTATAAAACGTCATGAGTCCTCACCTACGAGACTGCGCAGCGTGTCGCGAGCGTGGTGCGAGTGTGGCGCGTCGCCACTGCCTCGCGATGACGTGTCCATCCTTGTCGTCGAATCTGGCAGGTGGGCACGCAGCGCTACATGGCCCCGGAGGTGCTGGAGGGTGCCATCTGCTTTCAGCGCGACGCCTTCCTGCGCATCGACGTCTACGCGCTGGGGCTCGTTCTGTGGGAGCTCGTGTCACGGTGCACAGCCGCCGATGGTGTGTGGTGCGGTGTTGCTCATTGCACGCTCGTCATACGAGAGAAACCCCCTTTTGCAATAAACAGCATGCCCAAACGCTCGTCACGTGTATGCCTCGAGCAATGAACAACAATGAACGGTGCGATCCCTGTTTATACGTGTGCGTGCGTTCATTCGTGTGTATAATTTATAACCAAGTGAAATCCCATTGAGAGTAATTGTCTGTCTTTCAATAGAGAATCAGAATATATATTTAGACTGGAAGAATCCGATGAGCTGCGAAGCTCCTTTTTCACAGATGTCCAGTTGGGTCGAGGTTATAAAGTTACAACAACAAACAATACAAACATAGGAGTCCAAAGTATAGGAAAGCTAAGCAAGTCACGATATAAAATTAACAAAGTATTTGTGCAAATTGCATATTTTTCAACACCAAATGCAATCTTGGGCAAGGCAGCAAAACAAAAAGTAGTCCCAGACCACACTAAGACAACACACAGTCTTCTTAGTTTTTTCGGTAAAGTCACGTTGAAGAGAAACAACAAAATAACAAAATATATATAAAACAATAAAAAATTCTCACGACGTTTTGACCATAACTCAAACGGTCATCATCAGGTGTGTCGGTTTGCATAAATTTATTTTTAAAAAAACGGCACATTTATTTATTTATAAAAAACGTTGGCGTCACGCGCAGCGATTGGCAGTTTGCCCAGGACTAGTCCATCTATTTTTTTTGAAAAGAGGAGGGGGGAGACGAAATTTTTTATAATGTATGCTGTCTGAAAGCCACTGTAAGCGTGAACAATCAATCAAGAACTGAAATGATTTATCAAATCTTTCCAATGATTGCTAAGATAGAAATCCATCTTCTCGGTTGAAATTGTCTCTGTGCTTGTATATGTGGATAGCCTCATGAACGAATCTCTCATGGAAGCCAGATGGCTTACAAAGAACCTCCGTCTTGGAAAAGTCAATGGCATGTGAGCCTACTGAATTAGAACAATGATCTGCTACGGCCGAGGTGTTGGTCCTACCGTGTTTAAGGTCTGCTTTATGTTCACGAATGCGGTCCGAGACATGGCGTTTGGTTTCTCCAATGTAACTACTACCACAGAGGCAACTTAGTTTGTAGACACCAGGGTATTGTATGTCCAGAATCACATCTTTTACAGACGGAACCAGATCACGGATTTTATGTAATGTGTTGAAACGGACCTGGATCTTGTGTTTATTCAAGATTTTGGAGATCTTTTTTGTGATCCCAGCAATGTAGGGTAAAGTGATGGTTTTGAAAGGCTCCTCAAGAGGGTTCTTCTTCATGGTTTGAGTGATAGCTTTGCGGATTGTATAGTCGGAGTAACCATTAGCCCTAAGAGCTTGGTGTACGTGCTTGAGTTCACTGCTTATGTGTTCCTGGTCGGATATGCATTGGGCTCTATGATACAGAGTCTTGATGACAGAATTCTTCTGTGAACATAAAGCAGACCTTAAACACGGTAGGACCAACACCTCGGCCGTAGCAGATCATTGTTCTAATTCAGTAGGCTCACATGCCATTGACTTTTCCAAGACGGAGGTTCTTTGTAAGCCATCTGGCTTCCATGAGAGATTCGTTCATGAGTCTATCCACATATACAAGCACAGAGACAATTTCAACCGAGAAGATGGATTCTATCTTAGCAATCATTGGAAAGATTTGATAAACCATTTCAGTTCTTAATTGATTGTTCACGCTTACAGTGGCTTTCAGACAGCATACATTATAAAAAATTTCGTCTCCCCCCTCCTCTTTTCAAAAAAAAAATAGATGGACTAGTCCTGGGCAAACTGCCAAATCGCTGCGCGTGACGCCAACGTTTTTTATAATTAAATAAATGCGCCGTTTAAAAATAAATTTATGCAAACCAACACACCTGAAGATGACCGTTTGAGTTATGGTCGAAACGTCGTGAGAATTTTTATTGTTTTATATATATTATTATTTTGTTGTTTCTCTTCAACGTGACTTTACCGAAAAAACTAAGAATATGAATTACTGCAGTCACGAAAGCTTTAAATCAAAATTTAACACACAGTCTCTCAATAACATTCCACATTAAAAGTGAACTATCGTTACAAAGCAATATAGTGAACGTGTTATTAAAGGGAAATAGAAACCGTGTACATCAAGGGTAGAGGACCTCCAACCACAGGTCAGATACTGTCTGTTACTTCATTGTTTGTACGGCCTGTCGAAACTGTATGCCTGTCGCTTTGAAACGGTACGCAAGCGGTATTTATCAATCACTGCAAGCATATTGGCTAGAGCGGAACATTTAATGTCTGGCAGTACCGTGTTACTAATTTTAGCACACTCAGTCACTTTCTGTCACTTCCAGGGCCCTGTTTAGTTTTGGTCGACTCCCAACATTTTTTCCATCCCTGCTTTATTTCTGCATTCCACAAAGGTGTGTGTTTGTTAATTTGTGGAACCCCCAAAGGTATTTGAACAATAGTATTCATTCAGTCTTTGTTATGGAAAAGGTTCCACACCCCCCAGTCCACACCAATGGATTAAAAATGAAATCTCAATTTTGCGAACTCGTACTCGGCAAGACGTCAGTTCTGCGTGCGCACATCAGCATTGAAATCTCCATTCACGAGCCCAATTAAAGTGACCTCGGCTTTATGAACTCTTTAACAGCCAAACCTCAATTTTTACGAACCTGTTAACAGTGACCTCCGTTTTACGAACCCGTTAAGTGAGACCTCGACTTATGGCAGCCATTATTAGTGAAATCTTTATTTTATAATCCCATTATCAGTGAAACCTCGGTTTAAGAACTCATTAACAGTAAAACTTCAAATGTATGAACTCTTTAGCAGTTAAACATCAGTTTTATGAACCATGAAACCTCAATAATATGGATATGTATATATTTAAATGAATGAAGAGCCACGCCTCTGTTGGTGATTCGATGCAAGACCTTTCTGGTTAGGTTTGTCTTTAATCTTGCATTCTTTTACATGCCCATCCACTATTTTGGAATGACCAATTTTTTTTTTCTTGGAGAGTGGCTCAAGATCTTCTTTGGTTCTTTCGGTAAAGTCACGTAGAATGAGAATAAAATAATAAAATAACAATAAAATTCTCACGACATTTCGGCCACAACGCAAGCGGCCGTCTTCAGGTGAAAGGAACAGACCTGTCGGGACGACAGAGCTTCAATGAAGCTTCATTGAAGCTCTGTCATCCCGACAGGTCTGTTCCTTTTATTGTCATTCTACGTGACTTTACCGAAAGAACCAAAGAAGATGAATTCTTGCAGTCACGAAAGCTTTAAATCGAAATTTGGCTCAAGATCATTGAGGCAAATGGGCTCTGCTCTACTGATGATCCTTAATGAACATTTTAGTGGATCATTGCAGAGCAGAACTTTGTATAAATTATTGCTTTTCCCTATTGGAATTAGCCCCCAATAGTTTAGATGAAGTGCTGTTACCAATAACTTCTGATAAGCCAACGACAGCATTTGTTTAACAAGCATAACTGCTGATGAAACCAATGATGGTTGAAATCAGTCCAGAATTAGCTTATTTGTTGCTGAAGATGTAGGATGTCATCAGTTTTCATTATTTCTTTAAAAAGATAGGTTTACTTGGCAATAACTGTGTGGTTACATGGGCAATGAGTCGCTGACCCTCGACGAGTGAGGAGCCAGCTAGCCATCGAACAAAGACGGTCACTGCATCGCACGCTCTGGAATGTGCTGCAGCCGTCTGGAACGCTCTTCCGATATTAGGAAGCCACTGGAGCTATGCACTTTTAAATCTCGATTGAAAACTAATTTCTTTAAAATAGCTTTTTGTACTTAGGTTATTGTCCTTAGCTCGCACCTCCAATTAGCACGGTTGGCTACATACGGTGCGAAAAAGAATTTCAACATGCGTACATGCAAACGAGCACACTGATAAAAAAAAATCCTCTTCGCACGCACCATGAATCCGCGACTCGGATTATCCTCGTAGCTAATCAATGCTTATCTGGATGATGATGATGATGATGACGATGACTGTGCACACGTTTTATTTTGAATTCCTCCTCGGCAGGTCCGATAGACGAGTACCGTGTGCCGTTTGACGAGGAGATCGGTGAGCACCCCACGCTGGAGGACATGCAGGACATCGTGGTGCAGAAGAAAATGCGGCCAGCGTTTCGGGAGGCGTGGCTTAAGCACCCGGTAACGTACACAGGGCACAGCCCCAAATTGTCTTTTATCATCTCGTTGGTAACGTTTCTCGTCTTCTCTCTCTTGTTTGTTGATTGGGATTTATTCGTAGCAGTGATCGTTGCCCCTGACTGGCAGAATAATGCCAAATTGCAAACCAGGTGCTGAGTGCCAATTGTGCCACACAGTGACAGCTGCCACTGGGGGGTGCCCTTTCAGATTTTTGCGATAAAATGCGCACCTCCGATTAGCATGGTCGGCTAGGTGTGGTGCGATAGAAGTTATACATATGTAGAAGAGTTCCCGACGACTCTGAGACGAAGGTAATGTTTTAGGGGCTTTCGCCGTAAGTTTATTCGAAGCTTATTCAAATAACACAAGGGTGTAACAACTTCCCAGGGGTTAGGGGTCCCGGGCTACATCCCACTAGCCCCCGTCACAGCCGGCTGCCCTGTGCCGTCTCCTCTGCACCGGCCGTGGGTTCAGCCAACACGGCCGAGCGAGGAGCACAGTCACCTCCAGCCCTGGCGCTGTGCTATCCCCTATTCCTACCCTCTTGCCCCTGGCTCCCCGTTCCACCCTACTCCCAACCCCGACTCCAGCAACGACCCCGCTTACGTCACGGGGTCCCCTTTTTATACTAGAGGAGACGTGACGTCATCGAGCCGCCCAGCGCGCATGACGTCACGTTCCGTGACGCCATCGCACCGGACGGCACACCTGACGTCACGTTCCCATTTTACTCCTCTACACATACGTAGAGCGCTAAGAAACACCCTTGCCGGTAGTGCGCTATATCAACAATATAGCATTGTCATGAATATTTGTACAGTGTTCTTTCCTCTGTGAGCCTAAATATAACCTTTCCATGAATTGTAAATCACCTGTTTTCACATGCATGATTCGATACATGTTTCACGAGTGTAAACATTTAGTTATTACAACAAATTAATCGGTGTATTGGCACGTGCCTTTTGTCTAGGGGGAAAGCCAAGTTTGAATGCAGATACTCAGATTTGGCTATGACCTAATTATCCAGAATGCACCTGATTTGCATCGGATCTCAGACGTTAAGCAGAGTTGAACCTTGGTTGGCATGGGTGACCACCATGCACTGCAGCTTGGTATAGGATGCAGGATTACACGGGGGGGGCAGCAGAGGGCAGCAGAGGGCAGTGCAGCAACATCTGGATATGTACTGCAACGTCTGTGTTGTCCGCCTTAACCAAGCTACGGTTAGCTGTCACAACTTTCACAGTGTGGGAAGGCCCTCATCAAGCACTAGACTGTCCATGTACAATTTGGTATTATTCCTGTAGGGGATGAGTGGTCCTCCATGAGCCTGACGACCAACGAGAAGTGCAGACGGTGGGATATTGTTCAGACGGATCTTGGCGGTGGTATATCTACCGTAGCAGCAGTAGCAGCTTCGGGATTTGCCAGAGGGTAGACATTTTTGGCGCGGTGCGGTGGCATCAGCAGCTTTAACGACGATTCAATTTTGAGCTCTTGATTTTCATCTTGCGCGGTGGGGGTGGGGAACGATGATGCTCGCAGGGACTGGCTCAGCTGTGCGTGACCATGGAGGAGTGCTGGGACCACGACGCGGAGGCTCGCCTTTCGGCCGGCTGCGTGGAGGAGCGCCTGGTGCAGCTGCGGCGCCACCCGGGGCCTCCAGGCCTGCCCGGCGGCGGTGGCACCACCACCGCTACCACCGCCTCCTCTCCTCCCACCGCCGACACCACCACTGCTGCTGCGCCCCTTCACTCCGACTCCCTCATCATCTCCATGTCTCCGACCTTACTCAACCTTCATTCGTCGTCACCCAGCAAGGAGTCGAGCCTCTAGACCAGGGGTGGGAAACCTCGACGGACCCAGGGGGCCGGATGTGGCCCGCGACTTCATTTCATACGGCCTGTGACCTTCAGTCACTGCAAGGGGCCCCCTTGAATATTGACAGAAGTGATGAAGCTGTTTGTGTTAACGTGTGGCCCCACCTAAGGTAATTCAAAGTGCTATTCGGCCCCTGGTAAGGAAAGGTTTCCCCAGTCCTTCTGTAGGCGATCGTCAAACTGTTCGAATCACTTTTCATTATTTAACCGGGTTTAGAGGTACGCATTGTTCGTTATATGCATCACAAGGAAGGCCTCGGAAACTTAAGGGCGTCACGTACGAACAGTTACAAATTTTTACCCAATTTAGTTTTCCTATTTTACACACGTTTTGGATTTGGTAGGCATTGACCCTTGGATAGATTTCAGAACGATATTGCTGGGTCATTGCCGTATGCTTTCCAGCAGGGGGTGAGATGAAATTGAATCAGCGCAAGTACCGTGACTACTAAGCATTGGGGAATTGAAACAATTTTAATTTCCCGCAAGCTGGCTCAGTGTGTGGGCCCTGTACAAATACAATACAATTTTGATATTTATCGCATATTAATGCAACCACACGTCAAGGTTCTGTAAACAGCTTGGTGTGTGCACCACCAAGCTGTTTATCTGCCCGTCCAATCTGGTTTTATTTCATCGATGTCACCGGGAGACTTGCTTAGTTTAGCCAGCGATTATTATTTTTACACTACCTGCTTATCCTAACCAAGGTAGAGATGCTATCTGTTCATGGCGTTGTGAGGTTATAAAAAAAAAATCACTCAAATAGTTCACGTTGTAAGTTGGACAAAAATAATAGTGCTTTAATTTTTTTTAAACCAAAGTGACTTGAGCTGATTTTATACTTCGCATATTTGAAATATGAAATGTATTATCCCTCTTTCCCTCCCCGTTCCCTCCAATTGGCTCTTCTGGCATTGTAGTAAGAAAAATGGACATTTTATTTAAGAAATAGTAATTCATTGCAGTTGATTGTAGTTAATAAACTTAACACTGGCGTTAACTCATAATCCTAATTTGGATACGTAAATGGTTACCAAACACTGTCCTCACCCAGATTACATTTTTTTTAAACATTTACCGTGAATGTTTAAAAGTAAATGTTTATGAAGCGCGCTTACCTGATGGTCAGGGTTAAGACCAGGGTTAGCATTTAGATATTGGCTGGGGATAGTCTCATTTTAGGTTAAGGCCTTGGGCTAGCGATAGTGTTAAGGCGAGGGTTAGTCATATTGGCTATAACCGTCTAAATACTTTATGATAAACTAAATTAGAACATGTAATATATTTGTTAAACATTTTTATTTTCACGATAAAATGTCCCAGTCTCCCCTGCTGTACATGAAACCAGGTCTGGTCAGGACCCTAGTTAGAATGTAATACCCCTCTTCCACTGGCACATCCGAGCCGAGCCAACACGGCACCTTCACAGTACAGGTGATTTTTTTTTTTCCACCGGCCAATTACCGTGCTAAGCTGGAACCAAATCGTGATGGCACGCTGGCCTCGCGAGACGTCGAAATCTGGTTGCTTTTTCATTGCACGTGGCATCAAACCGTCAGCTCTTAAAGGACACAGAGTCGCGGCGTCATCTACACGCGGCTCTCCACCCATTCGTTTCTTGTTACGTCAGCGGCTCGACTTGGCTTCGGCAGTGAAGAAACCAACAGCTGTGGCTGTGCCGGGCTGGCTCGGCGCAGCTCCAGCGGAGCTTGGTTGTGCAGTGGAAACGGCTGTGAATGTGGGGTGTCACGTTGAGTTCGCTCTGGAGGCGTGTCTCATCAGTCTGCCATGCGTTTTTAGCATTTCAAGGGACATCCCAGGGAATGGGTTTGGTATTTAGGCATTGTCAAATAATTGTTCACATTGCCTACTTTAGAAAACGATAAGAAAGATGTCATTTAAAATAATTTCATGCCTTGTTTTTTTGCTCAGTTATATCGAATTGCGATTTTTTTTTTAAAATAACTGATCGTGTGTGTACTGTACATGCCCAGGTCATGGGTCATGTTCCTGTGACTTGATTTGGTAAGATAGATTTGAGGAGGGTAAAGCGATAGTACTCGTAGCGAGACTTAAAAAGACCCTTTCAAGGTTGTAATTCCATTCGTCTTACTCAAAAGTCAAAATTAATTGCTGCTTAAATGGGGCGGTACTCATTTCTGCCCTGACCCAGTGGTGAAAATTGCACATTCCTATGGCAGGGGTGAGTCTCTCTACAGGCTGACCACTACCACTGTTGACCTCCCCCCCCACACAATGTGGTACTCATGTTATTGATCCATGATGCTGGGGTTGGTGAAATTGATACCACTTTGAAAAGAGCCAACTGTTGTAGCAAAAGACTGGGTCCTTCCATACCAATGTGGAATTTGCACCTCTGATTCAGAAGCAACAAGACGTGAGGGAGGTCTCGGTTTTCTACTCGATAATTGTGAACTTTTGCAAATGAAATTGGAATATATGTGAAGAATATTAAGCTTGCTTGTTGCCATCAAAGATGATGATACTTTCCTCAAACATTGCTTTCCCAGAGCAATGCTTATTTTTTTTGTTTATTGAGCATAAATCAAAAACATGCCAGTTACAAAAAAGGACGGCGCGTTAGCTTGTTGTTTTGTACGGTGGGGGGGAAAGCTACGTGAACGCACGTCATGTTTTCAATGGTGCTTTGAACGCACATCCTCAGTGCGTGTGCCTGGTGCAAGGCCCGTTTTATTTGTCCCGAGGGGCCTTTTTTTGTAGCCTTTGCGATAACTACGGCAAGTGATGGTTCTACAAAAGACACGATTTGAATGGGTCTGAAACGTGTTATTTTAATGCGGTTTTTTTCTCCCCCCCCTCCCCCGCCCCCGCCCATTCGTCTTTGGTACTTCAAGCCTGTTTACGTTGCGGGAGATTTGTGACTGGGTTGATTTTGCTGGAGTAACGACTTCCCTCGTCGATGCTCATCGTTGTTTTTATTCATCAATAAAGGGGGGGCAACACACCCGGTGAACGCGGACGGTAGAGGCCACCGGATATCAGGACACAAGCCGGCTGCAGGCTGCACTTGCACTCCGAGGTGTGTGTACGGTTGCCACTTGTCCCTGGTTTCCCCAGGATCATACTCTCTGGTTGAGGAGGTAGCTGTCTTGGGATCTTCGTAAGTCTTGCCAGGATATTAAAGCGTCCCCCCCCCCAACCCCCCGTTCTGGTATTATGAGATATCATTTCCATCATATGTCTTGGGTGGTTTTTAGTACCTTGGAGGTGGCAACCCTCAGTGTGTGTGTGTCCCTATTGCATGCAATGTAAAACTATCATGGCACAGAATACAGTGGGGAAGTAACATGCACATCTCCCTGCAGATAGAGCAAGGAAAAATGTATTGAGGAGTTGGAGGTATTCATATCCATTCCATACGGTCAAATCAAGTTTACAATTCGCCAAATAAAATAGGTAATTACGCCAATTGCACATGCATCGAATTCTGCATGTTGGAATCATTCCACTGCAGATTCTACAGCGGCAACTGAAAGAAAAATAAACCGAGTTGAATCATGGCCTCATTTTTATAATTAGCAAATTCGAAGCGGCATGTTCTGTTTAGGAATCGATGCATCGTCAGTTGACCACGAGCAAACAATGGAGGATGCGTGCTTTTCCCCCTCGATCTATAAAAAACCTCTTAATTCAATAAGTCGGGTTTTAGCGATGCTGGAGACGCAGCTCAACAATTTGAATGAAACGTGTTCATGCGCAGCGGTGACGAACTATGCGGGGTGCAAATGCGGCCCGCAACGTCTTGATGTCCTTAAGCTTTTTGTGTTCACGGAATCCTCTTCAGCAGAGGTGGTGGGGGGGGGGGGGGGGGGGTTTCCCAAAACGTTCCAAGCCCGCGGACCGCTGTCAACCGTCGACGTTTCGCACGCCACCGTTGTCGTGTAAAACGTGTGGCGTTTTGTGAAATGTTATCGTACGGGACGTTCGGTTCCGTGGGTCACTTCCCCACCCACGGCACGGCCTTGCCTTGCTCTCGAAAAGCAACGGTTTTGTTTTTGTAATCTGTGTAAACTACCTCAAGTTTCATTTTTTTTTTAAATATAAACTGCAAGTTTGATTCTTGCCACATCGAAGAGTCCCTTACAAGGAGAGAGCAAAACGTTCCAGATTTTATATACTGTATAGTGATATAAGGTTGTTTTTTTTTACCTGCTGATGGTTTTACAGTCGAATGGTTGGTTATTCTAGTTGTAGATCTGGGAAGTCTCATTGTACGACGTGAGCAGAAAATACCTCAGTCTTGGATGCACACTGTGTTCACTTCTGTTTGTTCCTCGGTATTCTCCATCAAATGTGAATTATCCGTTCTTAAAACATCCTACTCGCAAAGCCCTTTTTGTGCTCCAGGTTTACAGAGCAAATGAGGCTGTGTTGAAACGCAAAATCGCCAAGTCTGGGAATCGAGCTCATTTAAGGGAGGCATCCTTTTAAAACCTCTCTCGTGCAAGAATTATTAGAATGAAAACCAAACTGTTTCTCTATTGGTTTAAGGTAATTTTAGAATTCAAAAGAAATCCCCACCTGCCCCCCCCCCCCAAAGTGCTGATAATAGTTTTTGTATCATTTCATAGCGGTCATATATATCGTAGCAGTCCACCGCAGTATATATGATGCATGAGAGAGGGTTAACGTATACCCTTTATATGTGCCCGGCACCATAGCATGTGCGCCAATGAGCATGGTAGAATGCACATGCTGCCTTCCAAAGGGTTTATTGCGCAAGTTTTATACATCCTAGCAACTGTGCTGGTCAATCGCAAGTGTTCTTTCAAATCTGTGGTTGCGGACTCGACGTTACTTTCGACATCTTGTGTAGCGCGATGTAAGAAAAAAAAAGCTTTTTTTCCTGGTGCCCAAATCGTATTCATTTTAATGCCATGTGGTAGATTGTGCACACCTTAGCTCAGGGGTTTTACGTGTTCAGTGCTTTACACCGTAGGCGAGTCAAAGTCTTGCCATTATGAGCAGCGACACTGGGCTGCACATTCCTATGTTCACTGCTCCGTTGTTTTGTGCCGCTTAAGGTGGATCAGCGATTTGAATTCTACGCTGCACGGCAGCTCATGTCACCTCTTTTGCCAATCATAATGAACATTGCTGACATGCAAAGGCACTTGTTAATGCGGCCTCTTGTTAAGGTAGATTGTAGCACTTGATGTCATTGATTCTGTATTTAATTTGGGGGGAACCACAACAATGGATACATTCGGAAGTTTTTTTTTGTAATTGGCCTACATGTAATTGGGGTAAAATGGAGGTGCATTGGTTATGCACTACACAGTGAACCCAGCGACATGTTTTATTCCAAGCCACGGCTATCATCAGTGGCGAGCTATACCTGAATTGGTCCTGGGGCCCCCTTTCAGCCCGCAATGTACGGTCAAACATCCGCCATGACCAACGTGGCATGGGGGAGGCCTTCATCCAGCAGTGGATTGACAAAAGAAAGGCCTGTGCATTCTATTTTATTTTTGTTAACATTTGTGACTGAATATTTTTTTCTGGTTGGCTGAGAGAGTCTGAGAAGCTTGCGGATTTGGAGTATCTTGTGATGAATGCACAGCTCCTGAAGTGAATCATATCCTTAGTGTTTCTGTATTATAAAATCGGACTTAAAGAAATGTTCCTTTGACATCAGGGGCACATAACACCTGGTGGTTATGCATGTAATGATGGGTTACCACAGCTGTCTGTTGAATTGCCACGATTCTGGCTCGTAATTTGATTCGACAATACTCTGGTCTCACAATGTACATTACCATTCTTGGAAATCCTTGCAAATGCGTTTCCATCTCGATGGACTTTCCCAGGTGAAATATTTAAAAAAATTGAAATAATATTGTTTGCTATAAATTGATAATGCTAATTCCTCAAGCGCAATTTTATGCAATTATCGTGAGTAAAAGAAACACTTTTAATAGATGGATTGATACTGCATTGCCTACGGCCTCTTTTCACAATACTTTCAGATCAGCACATTTGGTATTTTTGCACCATTCTTAGGAGCGGGAAGGCTGTGGCAAAAGCGCTCTGCTTCACAAGATAACTGAAGAGTCTGCAGGAGTTTCACAAGTAGAGGAGGGGCATTTTCCATATAGGCCTTACCAAATGAGAGTGTTGATTTGGCGAGTCCTTTTCAAACGTGCCAAATTTGGCAACTGTAATACCAGTGAGCTTTTTTTTCCTGAACGAAGCCTCCCTTTAATGTGACACGTGACAAACTGCGGTTTAAATTACGGACATGGAGTGCCTACAACCTCTCACTGAGGCGGGGCCCTTTTTTTCTATACTTTTAATAATGTATTACTGTCACGGTTAGATTCCAGGTATTATGTTAAACCTACATGCAGTATTTTGGTTTGTGAAAACGATTTGTTAAGTGCTGTTTGTGCCTGGACACAAATAACTACTTTAAACATCGTGTCGTCAGGCGGCCAATTTTATAAGTCTCGTTTTTTTTGTCTCAGTCTGCAGGACAACTGTTTTAATGGAGAGCTCAACCCAGTGTCTGGTCTTAAAACCTTGTAAATTAAAGAGTTTTGTTACGAACGTATTGTTATCGTTATCGGTTTAGTTGATGTCGTTTATTTTGTAGAGTAAGCATAGGGCTTTTGTTACATTTTAGTATTTAACATTTTTCTAACGGGAAGGAAATGAGTGTGGCGTTTCACACGGCGCACGTTTTTTCATGTTTATGTGGGGGGGTCTCACGCAACCCAAGATGTTTCTGTCGGTTTGAAGGGCTTTTTTTACATTAAAAAGTTCCGTCCTCATGTTTATACAGTGTTCTATGGGGCTGGGCCTTCTTTGTGAATGTTCATATGACTTTTGTTGTTGCCAGTGTTTCATTTAAAAAAGAAATCTGTATCCTAATAACCTCAAGTCTTCATGTTTTCTTGTGTGCGACTTTTATGTCTGTCCAGAAGCCTAAGACAGCCAACATTGTTCCGAATGCATAAACTGTGAAACTGTACAGTCAAGTCTAAATAAATTCCTCCGGTTTTTACGTCTCGCTGTTGGGATAAGTACTTAACTTGCCTTGTGTCGACTTGCCTTGCAGCTTAGATGTCATGATGCAAACTGCGGCGAGTCGTGCTCCATATGACATTCAGAAAACACCGCACAGAGCAGTCTGAATTCCACATGACAACGTCGTATATCCGACCATCACGTGTCCGCACAAATCAATGAACCGCCCACACCCAGTGCCGTACCTGTGCATGGTGGACCATCAGATATCCGCCTATACCTCATCCCCCCCCCCCGCATCGTGTCGGATATGTGACGTTGCACTACATTCGACACTATCCACACTTCGGCCGGTGAATGCAGTGAACACGGTGCGGCCCTTTTGCCAACCCACCGCTGGATGAGGGCCTCCCCACGCCATGCCTATCACAGGGGGGCATTAGCTAATCAGGGGCGGGGGCATAGTACTGTACAACAATGAATTTTGCTGCACAATACTGATTCCGGTATAGGGATCTGACTTGAGTGGCGAGGGACTCATTACAATGCAGCATATCCCCCTTGGGACTCCTGTCCATGTGCAGCACTTATAGCACCGCAACGCACGTGCGTGAAGTAACAATTTTCCGCTGTAGAAACCCCCACCGACCGTTCCAATCCAGTGCCCCCTCATTTCGAGTGCAAGACATGAACCATTGCCGTGGGCCGCACTCATTCCAGTGCAGTCACTCGTCCGATGGCAAAGAGGCCCACGTTTCCTCGTACAGCAACACCTGCTCCTGTGCAGACAGCTCCGTGTTGCCGTGCCGTTTGGTGGCGAGATGTTTACTGCCTCGCCTGGTGTGCAAGGAGGATCGTGGGTTCAATCCCGACCCTGACGCCTGCTGTATATTTGTAGTAGTTTGCGTGTCTCTCCCCGTGGTCGCGTGGATTGTTCTCCGGGTCCTCCGGGGGTTCTCCCTCCGTGTAGAATCAACATCACGTGTTTAGAGTATGTTTGCTTCTCTCAATGTCCACGTGATGAGCCGTTTCGCTGAGCTGTCATTTGCGGCCAGGTCGCGTACTGAGAAAGAGCGATGGGGTAAAGCTCAGTGGGCCGTCTACGTGCGGTGCCAAGGAAGTTCAACATACCATACCTGGCAACCCCTTATTACAGACCAATTCAGACCTTATTGGTCACACCGTGCCCCTTATAAAGCTCAACGTCCATCCTACAAAGTCCCATTACAAGGAGCCGTCCATAAATGACGTCACGCGATTTTTGGCGATTTTTGACCCCCCCCCCCCCTCGTCACACGGCGTCACAAATATCTGACCCCCCCCCCAGGTGCGTGACGTCATTTATGGACGGCCCCAAAGCGATAAACACAGACCAAAAAAATTCCCTTATTGAAACGGCTGTACGCCGCATGGACCTGAAAACTCAATTTCCCTGCACAAGAACACGGGGTAAACCCGCATGCGTTGACAGCTAAGACATACAACAACTACACGACATTACCCGGTTAAATGAAAAAAAACACGTTAGAATCTTCTGAATTCTGGTTGTAGTGCCACCCATACCGGTGCAGTCCACTCTCCCAATTTCAGTGCAAGTTCCACCCGTCCCGGTGCAAATCACCCCACCAAACCCCATTCGAGTGCAGACACTTGGCGGCGTTGCAGCAATCACTCCTCCCGCTCGTTCCGGTGCAGTTCCGCCTGCGGTGCCGTGGCCAATTCCAGTTCGAGTGGAGCGGGCGAGCCACGTGCTCCGTGCGTGGTGGGGTGTGGGCTTTTATAATAAAGTCCGGGCAGCAGCCGCAGCAGTTGCTGCGTGAAAACCATTCAGCCCCCGGCAGCAGCAGCAGCAGCTGCCACGGGCATCATCCGCGTGCAGTTTCGCATTTCTCGTCTCCTTTGGGCTCTCCAACTCCGTCGCTCGGCGCTCTTCGTGCGAACTTTGAAAGCACTTCGGCTCCGCTTTGCCCCCGCTTGTCCGTGATGCCGGCGGCGTCGCTCTCGTCGATGTTGTTTTTGTTTGTTAATATTTTGTTGTTGTTATTGTAAAGAGAACGTTTTAACCTTTAGCACGACTATACTAACCTCTCTGTGTTAGGTGTCGTCTTTTAAAAAAAAAAAACTGCTTTTTATTGAAACCGGACACAAAGTATAGCAACCTGTTCTGAGCAGCGACGGATCGATGCTTACAGCGTAACATCTCTTAGTGCGTCCACTGTTAAGTTATCGGTTCTGCAGTTACGTATATTATTAGTGTAGTAGTTTAAACGTTTTAAGTATATACTGTGTGTGTGTATATAACGTCGAGCAAAGTTATAGCAACATGTGCTTAGCAGCGATGGCCTGTAGCGTATCGTGTCCTGCTCTGAGCATGGTTATACACGGCTAAGTTATCTCTTCTATAGTTAAGTATATTAATTAGTGCAGTGGCAGCATTAACCTTGAGATTGCGCACCTGTGTTTTTTTTAGAAGATCGGCAATGTTTATCGCTTCGTTTGGTAACCGTGTGTAGCTTCCATCGGCACGTTGCTTGCGTACGCAGTCGGAATCTGCGCCTTATTATTATTATTGTTGGACGATCTCTTCGCCTCGCTCGCGATGTGTTGCTGCGAGTTAGGGAATCTGTCTCGCTGATCATTGTATAGGCGACGGTAGCAAATCGTAGCTTGTCTTTTATCTGGCGTAAAATACAATGTTTAAGTCCATTAAACCATCACTCTATCATCAGCAGTAGTAGATACGTACTCTGTTCACACACGCGCATATTATTTTCTACATTAGATCTCTATAGTATTAACGCATACATTCTTACACGTTATATATACACACGCGCGGTATATACTTATACGCTCCGACGTTGCGTCTAGTTCATACGCCCTTTCCCCCGCAGCTCCGATTAACACTGTCGGTCGGCTACGTACGGCGCGAAAGAAGTTCAACACACACGGGGTAGCTTTGGGAGGCGACCAATACCCAGCACCACCACCAGCAGCACCAGCACCACCACCAGCACCACCAGCAGCACCACCACAAGCAGCACCAGCACCACCACCCACCAGCAGCACCACCACCAGCAGCACCAGCAGCAGCACGCGTCAAGCCGAACCACTCGAATCAAAGCGGCTCACGCGCAGCTCGCATCTGGGGTGGCTCGCCAAGAGGCGGCTGGGGCTGTGCGGTAGCCCGCGACTTTAGTCCTGGGTTGGACTCCAGCTCGCCGGTCGCGATGGAGGGAAGCTCCTCCGAGTGTAACATCAAGGTGATGTGCCGCTTTCGGCCAAGGAGCACGGCCGAGCAGACGGACACGGCGAGTCCGGCTCGCCTCTGCGGCGATGGTGACACCGTGCTGTTCGGGGTGAGCACCTTCCGCACGGATGCACCTCATTCATTGCGTTCATCCATCGTTTCGTTCGTCCACCGCTTCGTTCATTGCATTACACTCCACTGCTCCAGACTCCGTCTCGACCCACCTCGATGTGAAATCGCGGTCGTTGATCTGCATCTGCACATCCAGCCACACGGCGAGAATAATATTCGTTTATTTTAACCGATTCGTTCGTTGATTCATCCTATTCGATGCCTGATTGGTCGATTCATTCATTGCTTTAAGCCATTCGTTTAGGAATTTCATTGTGTTGCTTCTTTGAGCCATTCGTTGATCATGGGTTCATGTCATTCGTTGCTTCATCCGTTTGTCACGTAATCATCGCAAAGCCGCTTAATTATGTGATCGATGTATCGCTTCGTTGTTGCATCGCTTCATTCATTTGTCATCTGCGTCGTTCGTTGGACACTTTAATTAATCAATCGCATCATTAAGCAATTGCAATGGAACGTTAAAAAAAAAACCAAAGCACGGTACGTAATGTAATGCAGTGCGACTGTGGCCATGCAACCCACGTGGCCACACGGCCACACGGGTGGCCTACTGAAGCCCTCTCGTCGTGAGCAGCAGGACCTCGACATTGGCAATCCAGCTCCTGAACGTACCGCCATCCGCATGGAGATGGAGATACATAGAGACCCAACGAGACCTAACGACTCAACGAGACGCATCGAGATACAGTATTCATCTCTAAGACAAGTCACATGAGTGCGACTGTGGCAATGTAACCCGAGGTGTGGACCCACACCGTAAAGCCACTGTGGCGGTCTCTGCGCTCCTTCAACGGATGAGGAGGAACAGCGACACGACACGAACTCTCTCTCTCTCTGTCTCGCTCTGCTTAAGCCCTCTTGTCGTGGCCAGCACCGGCAGCAGCCCTCGACATTGGGGCATCGATCTCCTGAACGTGCTGGATTTTCCATACGCAAGAACGTAGTTCGTCAACGCTTAATCGCGTCGTGCAATGCGTGCATTCATTGAGCATCTAGTTATTCAATGATTGCATTCATTAATGCCATCCGTTGCTTCATTCGTCAGAAACTGAGCCATTGTTGGTGTTGTTCAGGCATTTGGCTCCGTGGTGGTTAATTGGAATGCAGAAGTTTGCGAGATGAAGAAACAACACAGCAGGTTATTGAAATCTTCGTAGAATAACAGCCAAATATCTGCACAATAATAACAACAAAAACAGTAATGCCCTTTATTTATGCACGTAAGCCTCCGTGAGTCTCGGTTGCAAATCGGAGACATCGATTGTTCAATCGCAGTAATTGAGCATCAAGCACTTGGTGATGCTCATGCTGCGTTGGCAGTAGTGCATAAGCAGAACTAACAAAAGAGTTCAACGCGTGGCAGTGGTATTCGTGAGTTGCGTTTGGATTGGGATTATGTAGGCTTGAGCAGGAGAGGTTGCGAATACGGAAGCTGTGCCCCATATGTACAAGACTCGTGATGGAATGGCAGCCAAAGGAGAGGGAGGGAATGCAGCCGCGGGGGAGGGGGTGACGACCATCATGGAGATGGAGCGATGGAGAATAACATTCGTGTGCAAGGGGTGAGATGGATTAATTGCTGCATCGCCCGACCGTGAGGTTTGGGGACAGCATGGTAAGGCCGCCGTCATCCAGCAGCGGGATAGACCAGGTGTCGGCAACTTGCGGCTCTTATTAAGGACTGCCTCGTACCGTTATTTATTAAGGACCCCCACCGTCTTGTAACTACACACGCATCGCGGCCCTTAAAATATTTTCTTACCGAATTATGGAAAAAATATTGCTCCTCTTGTAACGTTTGTTTGCCGACCCCTGGGATTGACCATTGGCCGATGGTGAATTGATGCATTTTGGGTGTTACGTCTCCCTGGAACTGATCGCATGACGGTGATCGACGGCGCAGGAGGAGCCACGTGTCCAGGTCTCGGGCGGCTCCGCTGTTTGTTTTCGAGATGTACATGGAGCCAGGATGACGGGCAACCCGCGATCCGTCACTCGCGATGCTAAGCGTGTGCTCACTGGTAGCGCAGCTTGACGAGCGTGTTGTTTGTTTTATAGGGGCGAGAGCTGTGACACAACGGTTAGTGCGCTGCACGATGAACACCCCCCCCCCACCACCTCTGCCTGAGTTCGACACCCAGCCACGGCTAACATCGGTGGGAGTCGTGTACGGAAATCTAAACCGGTTCTGCCCCTCTCCACTTGCTCCATCCCTATCGCCAACCCACATTGACCAGCGTGGTGAAGTATGGTCAAATCAGCCCCCGTGATCTTGGGGAGGCCCGGCATCCGGTAGTGGATTCATAAACGACGGTACATTGCATTGCATTGTTGTTTGTGAATCATCATCGTTTAGTTATGACCCCATCTGGAGGTGAGTGGACACACAAAAAAAAAACCACTGTCAGCAAAAAGTAGCACTCAGAGCTGTAAACTTTTATGAAACGTTCCATCACACACCATACTTCAAGTATAAAACATTTACACGTTAAGTTTATGTGTTTTACGTGCTGCGCGATGTAAGCGCGGCCCTCTTGTCAAGCCACTGCTGAGTGAAAGCAACCCCCTGCACTCCCGAATCATTAGTGATCGGAGTCGTTTGGCCATACTTCACGCTGGTCAGTGCAGATTTAGACCAGGACGGGTTCAGTTATCGCTCGCCCTCTGTGATGCTAGCAATCGAACCCGGTTGTCGAACTTGGGTATCCAACTCGGGAGTCTTGGTTTATAGCACAGTGGCACTAACCTCTCTGCCACCGCTCCCACGCACACCCCCCCCCCCCCACCTCTGTTTCTGTACTTTGCACGCAACACATTCACGGCGTTGTAGTATTGTAAAAAATATATATATGCACGTGCATGCACGGAGAATGCAAATCTCGTAGAGGCAAAGTGAGCGAGTGTTCTTGCCACCACAACGAGTAGTGTCCCGAGTCAGCAGTGGAAGTTCCACATTGCTTTGGTTGGGACCAGTGGCGCCGTAGGATAATCTAATGGACGTGCAAAAATCCAACCACTCTCTCTCTATACGTGAAAATGTGTATGTGCTGTGGGTAGATAGATGCTTTTAGTAAGTACCCCAGGAACCAGTTGAAGGCCAAATCCGTTGTCAAGCCGAGATTGGTGTTTTATTTGGAACACATTTCTACCCAGATGTGCCTGCTGAGATATTCACAACAATACATTTGAACGCAAAACTCACTTCTGTGTCTCCGCACACAAACAAAAAATAAGTTTTAAGTCAAATTGGCCTATTGGCAGTTTGCAATGGTAAACTGTGAATAATTTTGCCACGCTTGCTCGAAAACGTAGTGCAACACAGGAACCAATTGTCAATGCGGCCGTTGCAATAGTACTGCACAAGAGACACAGAGCAGCACTGTTTGGGATGTAGCAATCGCGCACCGTGTACTCCATCTGCTCCTCACGTGCACACACACACACACACGTGTGTATGTGCACTCAGTTGGGGGGGAGCAGTAGTGTAGCGGTTAGGAACCCAGCGACCTCACGGCTAACTCCAGTGACGATTATCTGAACACGGTCCTGGGCCTCCCCTAGGTTAACTCCGCCCCAAATGAGTACCTGGTGCTGAGTGTAAACATCGCCACTGGGGAGACAGAGCCGGGCATGGTGCTTCTCGCTATTACAGCACTTGCCCCAACAGTCTCATACAGGCTTAAACGAATACTCTCATTGTTGCTCAACTGCGTTAGCGATTCTGAAGCCGGTCGTGGAAATGTTGAGTTCTTGGCCAGGGAGACATTTTTTGACTTGAAGATGTCAGGATGTGTCCGGCAGCAGTTGTGTGCTAAATTCAGACATTACTGCGCGGCATTCGGCAGTGCTTGCAATAGCTGCCCTCCCGAGTGTGACACCACAACCCAGACATCTGCCCGGGCGTTCTCACAAGCCACCGCACGCATCTCCCGCGCAGCAACTATGAGCGAATTGTTTGGCCGTCTTCTTGCAAACAATATCTACCCAAAGGCAATAGCTCTGCAGCGCATGCCTTGCGTATTGCACATAGTGTACAATTTGTAATGCCCAGCAGTTCAACTTACAATAATAATACTAATAAGACATTTGCTTGTCCAGGAAATTTCCACCGATTCTGAAGACTTTTTCAGGAGGGTCCTGCATCGGGGTGTTTGGCCAATTCCATCAAAGATGTTTTAACTTTGAGGTGGGAAGACCTTGTCAGGAGCATTATTAGAGCGGTGAGTTGAATTAGATTAGACTGCGCTTTGAACCCGGCGGATCCAAGTTGGAGTCCAGGCCACGGCGAACAAAAGTGGCAAAGTAATATCTGAACTGGTCTTGGCCCACCCCTTGACCAACCCACATCGGCCAGAATGGGGAAGTAAGGTCAAAGCGCTGTCAGCGCAGCAACTTGATTTTGATTCCCAGGGCTGTGGCTAAAACTTCGTGGTGAGTTATACGTGAACCGGTCCTGGACCTCCTCCCTTCATCGACCCACACTGACCAGCGTGCTGAAGTGAAGTAAAACCTTGGATTGCGAGCATAATTCGTTCCGGAAACGTGTTTGTAATCCAAAGCACTCGTATATCAAAGCACTCGTATATCAGTTGTGATCACGTGACGCTCGGCAGACAAAGCGTATACGTACTACTCGTATTGCAAGACCTCGCTCGTTTATCAAATTAATATTTTTAATTTTTGCTCGTCTTGCAAAACACTCGCAGACCAAGTTACTCGCAATCGAAGGTTTTACTGTATATTCAAGTAGCCCCTTACTATGTATGTACACGACATGTATGTGTGTACATTGAACTTCTTTAATACCACCGTACATAGCCAACCGTGCAAATCGGAGATGCGGGGGGGGGGGACAACAAACTAAATGCACGACAATGGAAAGGACTGTTTGTACATCTTGATTTTAAACATGTGTTTGTGTATTTTCCTCTCTCTGTGTCTCTGTCTCTCCCACCGGGGCCCCCCTTAGGGGAAGCCGTTCGTCTTCGACCGAGTCTTCTCATCGGAGGCCATGCAAGAGCAAGTTTACAACGCGTGTGCCCGCGCAATCGTTAAAGGTTAAACTTGTGGCCACGCGGGCTCGCACTTATTTTAGCGCCACCCCCCTTTTCCCACGTTCGAATCTCGTGACTGCCATTAAAACACGAAGCCCGGTCGCCGCTCGTTCGACCGAATCGCTCACTAATTACCGGTGACTTGTTTAGCTTTGCATTTTTATTATTGTCCGAGCTTGCAATTCCTCACCTGACGGCGCACCGTGCAAAATTTATGGACCTGCGTAAGATGTGGGCAATATCTTAAAAGTACCCGATGATCCATTTACGACTGTACACGTGGACGGTGGCGCGTGCCTGTAAATCCGGCACTGGAGGCGGCGAAGGTTGGTGGATCACTGCACCGATGTTGATGATGAAGTAAGAGGAGTTTTATATATATACACTCTTTGGTTCTTTCGGTAAAGTCACGTAGGTATAAAATAAAATAAATCACGATGTTTCGGGCGCAACACAAGCGTCCATTGTCAGGTGGGAAAGCATGATCTGCAGCTGAGGCAGACTGTTTTAAAAGTTTGTGTATATATACACACCTGATAACAATAAATGGATCGCCGATTATTTATAAATTCGCATTGCTTTTCAAATTGTGTGGTCGTTACTGCAATTGTTTGCGATAATGAATAACTTACGTAGGCGGCGCCTCTCGTACATTTGCATGAAACACGGCAAGGTTAATTTATAAACGGATTTAAAAAAAGAAGTTAAACTACCAATTGAACACTGCATTGTGGCCACGATGTCAAGGCCCAGCCCTGCAAGTGCTCACTCACGCCACTGCTGGCGGCGGTGCCTCCACTAGAGGGCGCTCGAGACGGCACCACCAGAGAATGAACTTCGACCTCCTCTTCAGAGCTGGCCAGACGTTTGGAAGTGTTGGGAGCACTCGCACGTGACCCCCACCACATTGCGACCTTCCAACGATTAAATAACTTCTTGTATGCCCGTTTATTCTATTGGGCCAATAGGCCTGTGCCGATGGATATTTTAAACCGTTTGAACATTTGCGCCAACTGTTCAGCGATGTCAACACGCCCGCTTGTCAATGCATTGGAGAGCGCTGTGACGTCAAACAATTTCTAAGCGTTGCATTCAACATTCCTAAGCCAAGCAAACGTGTCATTGCAGATGTCCTGGAAGGCTACAATGGGACGATATTCGCCTACGGCCAGACATCGTCCGGAAAAACACACACGATGGAGGTATCCTTATTCTCTCTTCGTACTTCGTACATGCGTCTCTCTAGATCTCGGAATGTTGGAGCGCCATGCTGGCATTGCTGGATCGCTGGCTGTGATTCCAGGTTGCCACCTACGCAGTGATTTCACGTCCTCGGCCTGAGTAACCCCCAAGGATCGCACGCGGAAAAAAACCCATCGCGTCGAAGTTTGTTCCGTGCTCAATTCGGTTACATTACGGCTATGGGAATGGCTGGGAATTAATGTCGAGAGGTTTGACTATCGTGCGATGAGGAGTGCTCTCGGTGGCAGTGCAGGATGGGAAAGGTCTGCAAGGATATGTCCACGACCGAGGGACGTTATCTAACACAGAAGGGTCGCTCTGCTCCGCAAGAGGTCCAAATGAAACGTGAGGCCGATATCATGGTTGGGATAAACCGCATTGGGAAATCGAGGCGATCACTCTCAGGTGTTAAACGCTCAGCTTGCAACTCGAGATAGCACCGGGGCGCCTTTGTGTAGTGAGTTAGGTGTCTGTGTGTAGCGAGTTAAATTCCCGTATGTAGCGAGTTAGATTCCTGTGCGTAACGAGTTAGATGCCCGTGTGTAGCGAGTTAGGTGCTCGTAATTTTTCTCCAGGTCCTCCGGTTTTTCCCTCCAAATTTAGAATATGCGTTTATAATATGTTGGCTGCTATACATTTTAACGTGATAATCTACTTCGTTGAGCTATCATTTGTGATAGCCAGGTCGCTTCTGGAAAAAATGTCTATATAGCTCAGTGGGTAAAATAAAAATCGTCAAATCAAAACAAACCACGTACGCTTCACGTCCTGATAAGCCTTGCCTCTCTGCCTGGCAGCCAAGGAGAACGCATCGCAGAGGCGACACGCACACGCGTGCACACGCGCGCGTTATGCTACCGCTTTGTCTGGAATGAACGCCACGCGCGTCTCCGCTGACGAGCCAATTGAGCCGCCGGCCCACGATAGCCGTCGTAGACAGTCACAAGGCCAAAATACCAATGGCCAACGGGCACCGCACGGGAAAGTGGGGCACCGCAGGGGCGACAGGTGGAAATAATGCTTCGTGGGGGGCTAAAATAAATAGTTTTGCGGGGTGGAGGGGGCTGAAAATAATAATTTATGTATTCTTTAAATGAGTGATATATTTTTCATTGGATGTATTGCAGAACTTCTTTTTGCACTGTACACAGCCAACCGCGCTAATCGGAGGTGTGGGGGGGGAGGACATCAAACTAAACACAAAAAGCACTTCTAAGGAAATTAGTTTTTAATCTAGAAAAAAAGAGTGCATATATCCAGGGGCTTCCTAATATAGGAAGAAAGAGCGTTCCAGATGGCCGCAGAAGCACGTCTGAAAGCGCTCTATGCAGTGACCATCTTTGTTCGATGGCTACCCAAAAGCCGCTGCAAGGATGGCCGGGTGAGTTCGCGTGATGGTTTTATGCTCCTTGACGAGATCGGCAAGGTATCGTGGTTCATTTGTGCGAGGCACTTTGTGCGTAATGAGTGCAACCTTGTAATGTATTCGTTCGGCAACTAGGAGCAAATGCAGCTCGGCAAGCACCGGACGGACACGGTCGGCTCTTGCAGTTGAAAGTTAATGACGCATCCAAAGGGCACAGGCTCTCACCGTGTGTCGGTCTCCCGCGCACTCCGCCGGTGGTCGAGGTGGCGGTCGTGGTGGCGGTGGCCTTGCGCTTCCATCAATTTTGGACATTGTCCGAATTAATGAAATTGCTTGGGTTCACCGATTTGCGTGCAGCCTACGACGTGGTGATGGCACGATCGTCACCGACTTGCGAGAGCTGGCTTACCATGCAGGGTCCAGAGATGAAGTTCCACATCGTCAACAGTGGTAATGCGGGGGCCTTGCTAGCCCATGCAGGGCGGCAGAAGGCCCCGTCACGTCACCCGTAGCAGCAGGGCGCTGTGTCGCAATAGAACGAAGGAATGCTGTCAAAAGTCCAAGCAATTTCCAGCTCGAATGAGCATTGAGAGTTCAGAATCCTGGTTGGGAGGTTGAACTGAGTCCATCGTCCCTCCGGGTTCGATAGCATGATTTCCAGGCTGTCGAAACCCCCAATTAGCACCGTTGGCTATGCACGGTGCGAAATAAGTTGAACGTACATACATGCAATGACGGTTGTCCTATGGATAAACTCGCCCCCTATCATAGGAATGTGTAAATTCCACTTCGGGTTCAGAACTGGGCTGGGGGGATAAGTACCACCTCAATCCGCATTTGAACAGGATATTATATTGACTTTGACTGGGTGGGGGAGAGGCTTTTGGGCTTGTTAAAGCGAATTCTCTTAAATGGGTTTGGTTCATTCGGTACCCTTGAATTGAACCCTTGCCGCAGCTGCTCCTGTAAGTATTCTCCCATTCTTCAGCTGTTGTTTGCCCGTCTCCGGAGATGCTCGCAGAGAAAACGAACCGTGCGCAGCAATACGTCTGGGGCTGGAGTCGCCGCTGCCGCCGCCGCGGCTGATGGAAGGAAAGCCTGACATTTAAAGTGACGCTGCCTTTCAAGACCGCACTTGACCGCTATTTCTGTCCGTGGGCACGGAGTAATCCGATAACACGTTGCGTGTGTGCGGGGGGCAGAGCTGCTGGCGCAATACTTTGGGGTGGCAGAGAGTCTCTCTCTCTGTACAGTACTCGTAAAAACACACACACACACGTAATGAGCTGTTGTGATGTTTTGAGTGTGTGGGTGGTTGTGCCTAAATTGAGACGCTGGATGTTCATGCAGAGCATTTCTGGCGTCCGATATAAATTGTTGGATAAAAAAAACTGATGTAGATTTTTGTTTGTTTGTTCAGTTCCGTCGCCTATTCACGGTTCTTACGCTTTAGGCACCCTTTGGGTTAAAGTTGTTTATATCGTGCGTGGCGATCCATTTACAGATACCCCACTGGTTTCTTATAACTTCACTCTCAACAGTGTTGTAAAGGCAATGGCTTCACGGATTACAGAGGAGAGGCGTTAACAACGATTCAACAAGTCCATTGAGATTGGTTTCGGAGACGAGGCTTTGAAATTAAAGATTGTTTTCTCGACACGCAATGTATTCCTATTTTATGAGTGGGGTATCTGTAAATGAATTTCATTATATAGGCAGTTTCTGTCGCACGGTACTTCTATGCTGCCAACGTCCAAGGCTTCCCCCCCAGCTTCACCAACCCGCCCTCACCAGCGCGGTGAAGTAGAGTCGCTTAACCCCACCCCCCAATGGCCTCGCCCGGCATGGGGAGGCCCGCATCCAGCAGCGGATTGCCCCAAGGGCTGTAGGCGTGCACGTTGTGTACACTCGGGCGCTCGGACGTCGGTTTCGAACGGAACACGAGCACGCCTGGAATGCTGCTACGTGATGGAAAGTCTCTCGTTGTCCCCCGATCTCACATCGCCAGGCCCGGTCGCCTGCGGTGGAGGGGGGGGGTGACCTCCGTGTGAAGGGCCCTTCTTGTGTATCGTGCGGCACGTTTCAGCCAAGGTCAAAGTGGTCAACCCACGCAAATCTGTGTTTGGCAAAGAGTGCTCATCTGGTGTCTGTATGTAGTTTGTATGTAGTTTGTATGTAGTTTGTATGTAGCACGTACGTATGTTGGACGTACGGAGCCAGCCGTGCTTATCGGAGGCATGGGGTTGGGGGGGGGGGACATTTGAATTGCAAAAAGCAGTTCAAAATAAATGTTGTCAAGAAATTAGTTTTCAGTTTAGTTTAAGAGCCTTAAGCCAGCAGTGGAACTTCCACATTCCTATGGCAGGGCCCGAGAAACCTAGACGACAAGCACTGTTGACTTTCCCCAGTGATGCTGAAGTCATTGACCATGGAGGGATGAGAAAAGCGAGTTCAACCCCTCCCTGGGATTTGAGTGGTTGACCCGTCACATCATCCATCTGGGTTGATAAAATCGGTATCACTTTGTCGTGCGGCAGCGACTGGGTTGTTTTTTTTTACACACTTTTATATAACTTGCCCCGTTGTCTGTTTATATTCTTTCAAATATTTGACGCTTAATATTTTCGGATCTACAAAGCCTAACGAGCTGAAATGTTGTACACACAATCGTCTCGCGTGACAATCCAAGATTTCATTTAAAGAACAGGTCCAGGTCCTGCCGATTAACAAATAAAGTAAGAAACTATTTTCAATGCACAGACTTTTATTTGCACTCAAAAGTAGAAAATACATTATTTTGGCCCGAGAATTAATCAAATTTGATGTGATGAATAAAAGTGGGTGATTTCCTTTTGATATGTTAAATTTTCTTTATGCAAGCCACCCACATTTATTTCAGCACATCAAATTTTAGACATTCTGCGGTCAAAACTATTCATTTTCTAGTAATAGTTTTTTACCCTTTTAGCTGGCACAAAAACTGACACCTTTATACAAGGGATCATGTTTGCAACAACCACAACACAAGCAGTCAAAAATGCAAACAAATATAAACAACTCTGATAATGATATGCACTGTCCTTGAATTTGATTGGTCCACACCCGAGACGGCTTTTCTTAGAGCCTAGTCTCCACTGGTGTTGGACCAGATGACACCATAAGGCGTACAACTCAAAAACAGCGCACTATCAGAGTATTGAGAGCTCGGGGTAAGCCTTTACATTATGAGACTTCCTTTGCCAGTAACAAGATATAGTAATAGGTTTTTACTCTTTTAGCTGGCACAAAAACTGACCTTTATTCTTAGCTCTTTCGGTAAAGTCACGTTGAAGGGATCATGTTTGCAATAACCACAACACAAGCAGAAGTGTGTGCATTGAAAAACACCAAATTTTTGTGTGTATTTTTTTACCTTTCCAAGGGGGTGTTATTTACGAATGTGTTGTTCTTTTGTTATTTGTGTCCCTGTGGATAGACTGGACTCTGCCATGTGACTGTGGAATTTCTACCACTGGTTCTGGGTCCTCCAGCAGCGAGGGGAAATGCCTCCCATTGCTCAGTTGAGCACAGAGACTGAATTCAGGCTTCCGGATTAGTAGAGTAATGCATGTTCAAGTTCATTTAATTGAACTCGTATGTGAGGGGACTGGGTTATGGAACCGAATGCCTGTGTTTTGCGAATGTTCATTTTCGTCCCAGATTTTTTTTAGCGATGGGGCAAAATTGTCCCCTCGCGATGCGTTTCGTCCGGTTCCATCGCAATATGAATACTGCCGAAGCGTTTGAATCGCAACTTTTTGTGTTTGTGGTAACGTTTTTAGAGTTGTAGTTGGTCGCGTTTACTCCAGTGATTCCCTCATTTTTCGCGAGTGGTACATTCCGGAGATGCTCGTGCATAGCAAATTTTGCGGAAAATGATATTTGCCTACGAAAATCTTTATTTTAAATTAATTACGTTAAATAAATACATAAATAAGCTATTCAATACATTACAATCATCTGATCCCTTTATCTCATCACATTCTCGCATCGCAAGCTCTCGCATCACTTTATCTCTCATCACTTTATATCATCATTTTATTTCTCCCCCTCTCTCGATGCAGTCGTGTAGAGTTCCAGATGCGATTTGCGGATAACCAAAATTGCAGATGGCAAGTTCATGAATAACGTTAGAATACTGTATTACTATTATTTCGTCTTTTTCTCTCGTCTTGCCCATTGGTTTTTTACATTTGTGCATTAGCCACCATAAGTTACCAGCTGACATTGTGTATTTTAAAATAAATATTATAAACCGCTACGTCGCATGTCCGACTCGTTGGGGACTGCGGGACAGCCAGATATGTGAACGTCTGTGGGAAAAGACAGAGCAATTTACACATACGCTACTGGATCAAAATAAATGTGGGAAAATGACTTTCACTGCACTTTGTAAGTAAGAAAATGTAGCGCAAATTACGTAATGGATAAGTAGTGCAACTGGGCCTCGGCGAGTTAACTGGCCAGGGCTGATATGTGACGGTCGGATATGTGGTGCGGTACCGCGCGATATTTCGCTCGCTCTATTATCCAAATCACAGGATTCTTTTCAATGGCACGGCTACGCATTTTTGAGTCGGCGTGACAACAGCTCCTGCTGTGGTTGTGCATGCTGACGTCTCTCGGCCGCTGTTTGTTTGGTGCGTTCAGGGAGACCTCAACGACTCGGAGCTCATGGGCATCATTCCGAGGATTGCGCGGGATATTTTCAACTACATTTACTCCATGGACGAGCACTTGGAGTTCCACATCAAGGTCGGCCCCCTCCCGATAACTTGCCGCTCCCCGCCCGCTTGCTCGATCGCTCGCCGTGCCGCGGGTCAGCCACGAGGTGACGGGGGGGGGAAAGAGTGAAACAAAAACCTTGCGGGTGGCAGCGAGGACGCCGGAAGCTTCATCGTTGCACCCGCTGATTAGCACGGTCGGTTACGTACGTCACCATCGTATTCATCAACCATGATCAATCCACTGCTGGATGAAGGCCGTCGCCATCTCTCATGGTCCTGCAATGGAGCAATCCATCGAGTAGCTGCACGCGAGCCGATTTCGTCGCTGCAAGCCAAAGCTTGTTTTGCGCAATTTTCTTACGTTCATTTGCATTTTCCTTTTGCATTTTCTGTTTTAATGTTCGTGTAAATCTCTCTCTCCGCAGCATCTCATGGTTGCTCGTGCTTTGTAAGCGAGTGCGTCAATTTACATTCTAGTTATACCGTGATTGTTACAGTCCGTCGTTTTGACATTTTAGAGGTTTTCCGGGCATCTCGGGGAGGGCTTGCGTCCTGCCAGAGGCCTCAGAATCAGAATCAGTATTTTAGACCGGAGGAGGAATCTGATGAGCTGTGACGCTCTTTTTCACACGTGTCCAGTATGACCTGAATCAGCACCACTAAAATGCTTAGTTTGAATCGAGCCAGCCACCCAAGATGAGAATCCGGGGCAACCAGTGAACATTTTCACCTGCGGCCAACCGTTATTAGTGTCCCAAACTGGTCACCAATTACCGCACAAATTAAACGAAGTTAAGGGCTTTGGACATTTCATCACAAACAAGTTTTGCCATGTTCAGCCGTGTATATATATACACGTGGATTGCACATAATGAAATAGTGTTTTGAGTGTTGGATATAAATATTTAAATGTACTCACATACATTTTTTTTTATTCTAACTGTAGGTTTCCTACTTTGAAATATACTTGGATAAGATCCGAGACCTCTTAGACGGTAAGCAACAATCTCACTTGTGTACAACGGATCCATTGCATCCTTGCCTGCGTGCGGTCATTTCATTTTGCAGCCTCATAATTTGCCTTGCGCCATTCATTTCCTGAGATACAATGACACGCATGCCTCTCCGTGCGTGCGCCTTCTTACGGCAGTGGAAAAGGTGAACTTGTCGGTTCACGAGGACAAGAACAGGGTTCCCTACGTCAAGGTAACGTCACATACTGTCGCATTAAAATGGTGTAGATTGATTGAAAGTTATTTTAACATTCTGATTATAAATCTACAACCGATACAGCTACAGGGAAAGAGTAATGGACCAGAGAAGCGTAAAAAGTTTTCCCTTTTCAGAATGCAAGTTTAGGTTTTTTTGAGAGGGTGCGGACCTGATCTGGAAAGCGGGGTGAATGTATGTGTGTTGAACATCCTTCGCACCGTGCGTAGCCAACCGTGCTAATCGGAGGTGCAGTGTTGAGCCTATGGGCAGTTGTTAGTCTGTGGGCAGTGTTAGTCGTCTATGGGCAGTTGTTAGTCTGTGGGCAGTGTTAGTCGTCTATGGGCAGTTGTTAGTCTATGGGCAGTGTTAGTCGTCTATGGGCAGTTGTTAGTCTGTGGGCAGTGTTAGTCGTCTATGGGCAGTTGTTAGTCTATGGGCAGTGTTAGTCGTCTATGGGCAGTTGTTAGTCTATGGGCAGTGTTAGTCGTCTATGGGCAGTTGTTAGTCTATGGGCAGTATGTATGCTGAACTTCTTTTGCACCGTACGTAGCGAACTGTGCTAAACGGAGGTGAGGACGCGGTGAATGGAGAGCGTCACCTCAACGCTCTTCATCAGGATTTTAAATTTGAAATCCACGGATTGCGCATTAAGTGGTCTTGCAGCTACGCACGCCCGATATTGTGGATTTAATTATCGGTGTGAATGTGATCATCAACTGTGGTGGTGGTGGTGGTGGTGGTCACCTGACTCAAGTGGGGATCGTCGTCGTACTGCGGTGTAAGAAAGTTTTGCTGGCTGGCTGGAGGGAGATAGGGACGGATGGACAAATATACAGATGGTGTCTTGCTCGGCAAAGGAATACACGGACAATGAGCAGAGGGAGACCTGTTGATGACTTGGATCATATTCAGGGTGTTGACAGACTAGCGCCCCGCTGAAGCCACGTATGCTTTCCAACACACCGGTGTGCTGTACTAGTAACAAATTGTCACATTCTGTTAACGTGACAAACCTCACTAATTGGCTGTGTCGGGCGGTGGGCGAGGATTTAACGACACAATATAATATTTGTCGCGAAAGCCTGCGTGGTGTTAAACAGAAGCCAACGTGTGTTTTGTGCGCCTGACCAAACGCCGATGCGTGGTGATGTCGGCGACACGGGGGACCCCCCCACGCTGCACAGGGCTGCACGGAGAGGTTCGTCTCCAGTCCGGAGGAGGTGATGGACATCGTGGACGAGGGGAAGTCGAACCGGCACGTGTCCGTGACAAGTGAGAGGGATTTCTCGTTATAATCGGTGCGCTCGTTCACCAAGGACGACTCTCGAGGCTCGCTCACGGGAGGGTTTCCTCCCAAGTTTCCACAATGGGGGCAGGGGGAGGAAACCCGGAGAACTCCAAGGAAGTCGATATGCAGAACGGGGGGGAGAGACCTTACAAACTCTACGCAGAAAGGCACCCGAGTCAGAAATTGAGCCCAGGCTCTTGGTGCTGCCACGCAGAAGTGCGACCCACTGTGCCACCCTGCCGCACAACTTGCCCTCACACTTCTAAATATACGGAAAAAAAATTCCTTAAAGAAATGAGAATTCATTTGAGAAATGAGAATTCATTTCTTTAGAACTGCTTTTCCTGGTTAGTTTGTTGTCCTTCCCCTGCACCTGCATTTAGCACGGCTGGCTACGTACGGCGGTGCGAAAGACGTTCTACATACATCCGTACTGTACCTACGTACGTTATACTCCTCTCACCGGGTGCCCACGTGTGCCAACCGCGCGGGTGAGCCACCGGAAGTGACTTGGTTGGGCCCACTCCTTTATTTCCTCCGCCTGCCGCAGACATGAACGAGCACAGCTCGCGAAGCCACTGCGTGTTCCTGATCAGCGTCAAGCAGGAGAACATCCTCACGGAGACTAAGCTCAGCGGGAAGCTCTACCTGGTGGATCTCGCCGGCAGCGAGAAGGTGAACGCCCCCCTCCCCCCGCCCCTTTTTTTTTTTACAACGCCGATTCTTTTTTTATGACAGCGCTTTACGAGACAACCGCACGCTTGAAATTAAACCGATGGGCAGGGGAAGGGATGGGTTATAGAGCGTGCGTCGCTTCTCTCTCTCTCGTGTGCCGCTGAACGCCGAGCCTGTACCCCGTGGCGTCTCGACCGCAGGTGAGCAAGACGGGAGCCGAGGGAGCTCTGCTGGACGAGGCGAAAAACATCAACAAGTCGCTGTCGGCGCTGGGCAACGTCATATCCGCGCTGTCCGAGGGAAACGTGAGCCTGCCGTTGGTCCCTTCCTTTACCCCCCCCCTTCGGCAGCGACGACAGTGAGGGCAGGGCGGTGGCACGTGGTCTAATCCGGCCCAAACAGCCAGCCGGGGGAATACTGAGCGGGAAATCAAGCGCAACATTCTTTTCTTTGCCAAAAATAGTGCCACTGAAAGTTGCAGGGTTGGTCTCTCGCCCGTTCACCGCTGAATCTCGGCGTAAATTTTATTTCGAGGGGTGGCGGAGCGCCGTCGTTTTTAAAGACGTTGAGCTCGCCGCAAACAACTGTAGCGACGTGACCGCACTACGATAGCTGGTGCCAAACTGTGCCACATGCTCTCCCGTAATGGCCTTGTGGGAGACTCGGTACTGATAAAGTAAAAAAACAAATCCGTTTCCGTTTGAATGACGTACACACGCACGTCATCGGAACGGGAAAGGGTTCATAGGAATTGCATATTTACTTTCCTATAGAGAGACGTAAGCATCCCATATGGATGTGGAATTCGCCATCACTGTTCCAAGGGCCGTGCCAATGGTTCAAAGAGCACTGGTCCATTGCTGGTTTTGAGCAGACGTAGTGGGGTGGAAGACTCTCTTTAATGACCATCTGGGGTGATTAAAGCGCCACTGCTATGGGGAGCGGTAGTGTAGCGATTAGCGCACTGGACCACGAACCCGGCGACCCGAGTTGGATTCCCATTCATGGCCAACAAGGGTGACGAGTATCTGAAACTGCCCTGAGCCTCCCATCGATCGACTCAGCCTTAAATGAGTACCTGGTGCGGTGTGTGAACATTGCGCACTTGGGGAGTCAAAGGCGGTCAGGCGTGGTGCTGGCCACGCCACCCCCCCCCCTCGTGTGCCGTGATGGCCTTCATAAGGTGCTCACGAACAGTCTCACTCGCCTCTATCACAGGGTATACGGGGCGGCGGGGGGGGGCGGGGGGGATCTTTGTTCTTCTAGCGGCTCCGGTTAGCACTGTCGCAACACTCCCATCGACATACGGCGCAAAGGAAGTTCAACGCCCACACGTACCCGCAAACATTGCTGCCGCTCTTTCCGCGGGGAGCGCAGAAGGCGTACGTGCCGTACCGCGACAGCAAGATGACTCGCGTGCTCAAGGACTCGCTGGGCGGCAACTGCCGCACGACCATCATCATCTGCTGCTCGCCCTGCGCAAGCAGCGAGGCGGAGACCAAGTCCACGCTGATGTTCGGACAGAGGTGTGGCGGCAGCAGCAAGCGCCGCCGCCACCACGGTGGTGGTGACGACGTCACCACGGCGGTCGCAGCTTCTGTAGCGGCGCCTTTCGTCGTCGAGCCTCAAAGGCGCTTTGCATCGATGACGATGGGCGGGATGGGGGAGTTTGGTCAAAAGTGGGTCGAGTTAAAACGGGAAATTCCTTCTAAAAGAAAATTATTTTAGAACGGGATGGTGCAGGTGGGGAGCTTGGACAAGGGCACGTCAGAGCATGGTACGATGCAACAGTAGCTTTGTTTTCACCGCAGCGTGCGGCGTTTACAGATGCGCTGCTTCTTCGGCCGTCCGGAACGCTCTTCCATCCAATATTAGGATGCCACTGGAGCTATGCACTTTTAAATAATCTAGATTGAAAAGGAATTTTTTTAAAACTGCTTTTTCTCCCACACCTCCATTTAGTACGGTTGGCTACGTAGGGTGTGAAATAAATTGAACACATCCGGGTTTCGTGCTTGCGTGCTGGTTGCCGATCCAAGACACCCTCTCCCCTTATCCAGGCTCAGCCCTGCTTATTAGCTTCCACGGCCTGCCGAAGACCGGGCGCGTTCCCACGGTGACTCGGTCACGGGGATGGACCCCTCCCCGGTTAAAAGTCTTAGCGGCGAGCGAAAGCGACGGGGGACCCCGTCCCCCCCACCACCGTGTGTGGTGTGGTGTGTGTGGTGTGGTGTGTGTGGTGTGGTGTGTGTGTGGTGTGGTGTGTGTGTGTGTGGTGTGGTGTGTGGTGTGGTGTGGTGTGTGTGTGTGGTGTGGTGTGTGTGTGTGGTGTGGTGTGGTGGTGTGTGGTGAGTGGTGTGTGGTGTGGTGTGTGTGTGGTGTGGTGTGTGTGTGGTGTGGTGTGGTGTGTGTTGTGGTGTGGTGTGTGTTCACCCGCGCCACCCCCCGGTGGAACCTCGGCAGGGCGAAGATGATCAAGAACACGGTGACGGTGAACCTGGAGCTGACGGCCGAGCAGTGGAAGAAGAAATACGAGAAGCAGAGGGAGAGGAACAAGAGCCTGCAGGGCACCATCCGGAGCCTCGAGGCAGAGCTCCAGCGGTGGCGGAATGGTATGGCAGGTCAGAGGTCGTGGGCCGCTGCCCCCCCCCCCCCCCCGTTCTTTGTAGCCTGGTGGGGTCGCGTCAGTATGTTTGTTCCGTTATATTTTATTAATTATTATTGTTGTTGTTGTTGTTGTTGTTCTAACATCAACTAAAACCAACAATGCCTTGGATGGGGCATTAACTTTAAACTAAAAGATCCGACGTGTGTCCGTCCGTCCGGTGCTCGCCGAACTGCATTTGCTTCCATTTGCCGAACGAGTACATTACAAGGTTGCACTCGTTACGCACAGAGTGCCTCGCGCAAATGAACCACGACACCTTGCCGATCTCGTGGAGGAGAATAAACCGTCACGCGAAATCTCCCGGCCATCCTCGCGGCAGCGGCTTGCTTTTGGCTGGCGATCGAGCAAAGATGGGGTCATCTTCTTTGGTTCTTTCGGTTAAAGTCACGTAGAATGAGAATAAAATAATAAATTGATAAAATAACGTAACGCAATAAAATTCTCACGACGTTTCGGCCACAACACAAGATGAATCCTTGCAGTCACGAAAGCTTTAAATCGAAAGATGGGGGTCACCGCATCGCGCGCTTTCGGATGCGCTCCCGCGGCCGTCTTGGAACCCTGTTCCTTCCGATAGTATGAAGCAAGCCGGAGCTATGCACTCTTAAATATAGATTGAAAACTCTTTTTTTTCTCAGAACTGCTCGTTGTGTTTCGCAGGCGAGATGATGCCGCCCCCGTCGCCGGAAGAGGAGGAGCGGCGCGGCGCGTGGAGGCCCCACGTGGCGCAGGCAGCGCCGGGCGCTCCGCCCTCGCGAGGCGACACCGTGACGTCGGCGTCACCGCCGGCGTCACCGCCGGCGGTGACGTCGGCGTCACCGCCGGCGTCACCGCCGGCGTCACCGCCGGCGTCACCGCAGGCGGGAGACGGCGGCGGCGGCGGCGGCAGAAGCAGCGTCTACCCCGGACTGGACGACGCAGAGCCTCGCGCCGTCGAGGAGCGGCTCCGCAAGCTCTACCGCCAGCTCGACGACAAGGTGCGGGAGTGGCCCCCGTGGCAAGAGGGTTCGCGGTTCGAGCCAGCCGGTCGCCCCTGGTTAATGCCCCCGCGGCTCCCGCGTGCGTTTATTGCGACGGTGACCGACATCTGCTTCGCGGTGGATGTTAAAAATATTTCGGAAAAAAATTAAACGTGGGCCAGGCGGGGCCCGAGCGTCGTGGTCCGAATTTTGCCGAATTTGATTGCTGGCAGGCTAAAGCCCGCCGGCTGGCCGGTGCTACGTTCACCTCGAGCCGCGCAGGGACGGCTGCCCCCGGGGGGTTCCCTGCCTGCGGGCGCCTCGATGTGTTCTGCGTGGGAGGCACGGTGTGAATATTAAGTGATGATGATGACGATTGTGATTGGGCGGGTGGACAGAGTGTGCATATGACCCGGCAGTTTTTAGGTTTTTATCGGCTTGTGACGGTTGAGCTATAGATGATCGATCAAACAACCGTAGCGAGGTCCACAAAGGGGTAAGGATTTACATGTACAGGCTCGGATGCCAATTGCCACTGGAGTATTTTTTTTTTTCTGGCAAGGAATCAAACCTGGGTTTCTACACTGCGGTACTCGCTGTGCTACACGCTAGGCCCAATGCCCTCTTGATGTACGCTCGCACACACACTCAAAGATGAAGGCCTCTCCGCACCGGTCATTGGGCGTTGTTTGACCACGCCGTACTACACCGCGCTAGTCAATGCCGGTCGGTGTCGGTGAAAGGGGATGGGCAGGTTTGTGTCACTTACGTTCGCCACGGCTGAGAATTAAACTCTGCTCGCCAGGCTTATGTTGCGCAGCATGCTGACCACTGCGCACCACCGTTCTCTGCTGCGCTCAAAGACGACGCTGGCGAGTGACCGCGGTGGCTTTGCGTGCGGTTGCGTTGGCAGGACGATGACATCAACCAGCAGGCTCTGCTGGTGGAGAAGCTGAAGCAGCAGCTGATAGAGCAGGATGAGGTGAGCACCCCAGGCCTTGGGCTAAACAGCAACTCTCAGGACCTCATGTATTGGCTTTATCCTGTGTGTGCGACTATTGTGTGTGCGCTTGCGTGCCTGTTTGGCCACGTGCCGGTTTGGCCACGCGGGTCCGTTAAGGTCGCTGCGACTCGCTAGCGGCACTCGCGAGCGAGTCACACGGCGCGGGGGGGGGGGGTGTGGGGGACCTTCGCCTCCGCTTCCAGATGCTGGCGTGGTCGCGGCGGGACGACGCCGGCCTGCGGGAGGAGCTGGCGCGGCTGCAGCGGGAGAACGAGGCGTCGCGCGACGAGGTCAAGGAGGTGCTGCAGGCGCTCGAGGAGCTGGCGCTCAACTACGACGCACGCTCGCAGGAGGCGGAGGAGGGAGCCAAGGAGGTGGCGCTGCTGCGGCTCGACCTCCAGCGCAAGGCGGTGAGGGACGGCCTTGGGCCGTGCGCCCCGCATCTTACGCGCGTCCGATGCCTCCGCGGTCTCCGCGCGTCCGCGGTCTCCGCGCGTCCGCGGTCTCCGCGCGTCCGCGGTCTCCGCGCGCCCGCCGTCACGCTTTTCCGTGTCTCCGCGTGTCCAGGCACGGCTGAACACGGTGGAGGCCGAGCTGCTCCGCCTGCACGAGTCGAGTTCCTTCCAGCGCAAGAAGACGGCCGAGAGCGCCGCTCTGCTGCTGCGCGACGTCGCCGAGATCCACGCCGTCCTCGGCGCCGCCGACGGCAAGGTGGGGGGGGGGGGGCCCTCGTCCCCGCCGAATCGGAAATCTTTATTTGGAGGGAGGGAGGGAGGGATCCAATGAGCTCGATGGAGCTCGATTTGTCCACCTATGTCCAGATTGGGCGGAGGTCATGAAAGTTACAACAGCAACAACAAAAAACGACGAGAGAGAAAAAATATGGACGAACTACCTCGCCTGGTATACAGGAGATCGTGGGTTCGATCCTGACCCTGACGATGCATTTGGAGGTTGCATGTTCTATCGTCACGTGGCCACGTGGAGTATTTGGCTGCTGTACATTTCCACGTGATGATAAGCCACTTCGTTGAGCTATCATTTGTGGCCAGGTCGCTTCCGAAAAAAGAGCTGTATAGCTCAGTGGGCGTGACCTGGTAAAATAAAAAAGTATAGTCACTAAATATAAATGCGTAATGTTTGCTATATATATATAAGTCCCGACTTATCAACATTGGGCAAGGCAGCAAAAGAAAAAAAAACAGCAAAAACAGTCCCATACCACACCACGATAACATCCCCCCCTCCCCCCCACACAGCAGTAGTCCCTCAATAAAATGGGACATTAACATTGAACTCTCGGTACCTGCACAGGTAACAATCAAAGTTACAAATCGCACTTGCGGATGCGACCGCTGTGTCCAGCAATAATCTTTAGTGGATGGGGCCAGGAGGACCACTGCCACTGCTGGCTGCTTAGCGGCACTAATCGAGTACTTAGGGGGAATGTGTTTTTTGACCTGGCAAAATAACGCTTTGTGTCTAATTGTCTCAACGCTCGGTCACCTTTTTTAAAACGCGAGCCCCCTCTCGATTGCTAAACATTATGATGGGATATCGTCAAGGTGTGTGTGTGTTGATGTGTGGCCCGCTCAAGGTATTTGAAAGTCGACATTCAGCCCTCGAGAGGGCTGAATTTCCCGACTGAATATGCTAGGGGTCGCTGGCAGACTGGAATAGGCACGTGACTTGTAGCCAGAGCCTTAGCAAGACGTAGACTGGATGTGGTGTACTGGGTGCTAGTATCTCTTCTGGATCGCTGACCCGGACGAACCCCGGCTGAAATTAAAAACTGAACTATTTAAAACTATTTCAACTTTTTTTTTATTTTACCAGTTCACGCCCACTGATCTATATAGCTCTTTTGCCGAAGCGACCTGGCCACAAATGATAGCTCAACGAAGTGGCTTATCACGTGGAAATGTATCCCAGCCAAATACTCCACGTGACCACGTGATGATAGAATATGCAAACTCCAAATGCACAGGCATCGTCAGAGTCAGGATCGAACCCACAATTTCCTGTATACCGGGCAAGATAGTTAACATCTCGCCACTGTGGCGCCCATCTACTGCATCTACTCTCGGCACGGCGGAGATTCTCTCTGCTCCGTGCGTTGGCGAGACCCCCCCGTAACGCGTCTTGGCCTCGGCTTGAGACGTCTGAAATTAACCCCCCCCCCCCCGGGGCGACGCTGCCCATCCCGTGCAGGCGGAGCAGCAGGCGGGCTGTGCGGAGGACGACCTGTCCACGGTGCGCCTCTTCCTCACCAAGCTCAAGTCGGAGGCCAAGTCGGCGACGCGCCGCGCCTCGCAGCTCGAGGTGGAGCACGCCGACGCCGAGCGGCGAGCGCGGGCGACGGCGCTGGAGCTGGAGGGCGCGCGTCTCGTCACGTCGCAGGCAAGCGTGGGCGGCGTCGGCGTCGGTCCGTCTGTGAGAAGCGCAGAGGGTGGTGGCGCTGCGGCCCTACGAGCCGCGTGCCGAGACACACCCGCCAGTAAGTCGCACGGCGGGCGGGCCGGCGGGCGGGCCGGCGGGCGCTTCGCTCGCTCGCGCCGGTTTTGGCCGCGGGCGGTTCTCAATTTGGGACTCTGCGACGTCAACGGGCCGATGCTTTAAAATGTTCTCGTCGTTACTTCTCTTCCGCCTTGTGCGATATCCCGCAACGTGTTGTCAGGTCGGGTCCCGACGGCTATCGGGTTTCTCGGTCGTTCCCTTGGCCACCGACATCTTGGCTGCCACTCCATGGTTAGTCTCGACCTCCGGCTGTCATCGTCCCTTCTGACTTTGGAAGAAGCCCCGTTGACCTTGTTAAGAATATTAATTACTGCAGTCACGAAAGCTTTAAATCAAAATTTAACCCCAGGGAGTTTAACACGTAGGAGGCTGTCGCGACCAATATCATCCATAAGAGTTTTTTTGGGGGTTAGCTCACGTAAATATATAAATGTGTCGTTAAAACCCGCCACCACCCGACACAGCCAACTAGTAAGGGTTGTCACGTAAACAGGACATGCCACCACATCCACGCCTCTTATATAAGGAACGAAACGGTAAGACTTCTCCACAAATCTGGCTGTCACCTGATGAAGCTAGTTGTAATTACTGGTGAAACATCGTACTCGGTTTGTTAATGTTGTGGTTGGCTCTCCAACACACCGGTTAGCGCTGTACTAGTGACGAATTGGCCACGTTCTGTTTACGTGAGACAACCCTTACTAGTTGGCTGTGTCGGGTGGTGGCGGGTTTTAACGACGCATTTATATATTTATGCGATCTAACCCCTAACACTTCTATCATAACCTCCGGTGACTTTGCCGCGTGCCCTGTGTGCCGCTGCCGTCCCCTGGCAGCACGAGTCCAAGGTGCGATCGCTCTCCGAGTACCTGCAGACGTGCGAGCAGAGCAAGCGGCACCTGCAAGAGGCCCTCGACGCTCTCAACGAGGAGGTTGTGACGCTTCGAGCACAAGGTGTCCTACTCGCCAGCCAAACGCTGGGATCTGTGATACTGGACGTCTGTGAAAAGGGGGCTTCCAGAGCTCATCGGATTTCTCCTCGATAGAGATTCTGATTCTGTGGGCACTGCCGAGACACTGACTGTACGTTTCTTGTTTTTTTTTTTTGACGCGGCCGACTGAAACGCCAAAGAAGCTCGCGCCGTTGCCTTCAGAGACAAGGAGCAGGAGCATCTCAACAAGATGGAGAGCGAGAGGGAGATGAAGGTAATGTCCTTCCCCCACGCCGCTTTTCTCTCTCTCTCTCTCTCAAGTTGTCAAATTTAGTTTCTCGCATCCAAGCCCTGTGCATTGCCGTTGAGCGAGGGCAGGGAGACACGGGGGAGAGAGGCTCAGCTAAAACGAAGCTATTTTTATTTTACCAGGTAATGCCCACTTGAGCTATGTAGCTTTTTTTCATAAGAGACCTGGCCACAAATGATAGCCAAATGAAGCGGCTTATCACGTGGAAATTTATAGCAGCCAAATACGCTAAATGCGTGTTTCTAAATGTGGGGGGGAGAGATACACGCAAACTCCAAATATACAGCAGGCGTCAGGGTCCTGCACACCAGGCGAGGTGGTTAATATCTTGCCACCGTGGCGTTAACAGACAAGATAGCAACACCACGATACCATCCCGAGACAAACCCAACCGGCACTCGCAGTGAGTCGCATACACAGAGCAGCACCAGCGAGTCCCAGGGCATCCTTGGGCAACCGAGGACCTTGAATGAGCTGAGCCCCAAGACATCCTTCCTAGGGGGGAGTCCTTCACCACACAAGTGCCGTGGCACCTGCCACGTTGCTGTGTGCGCAACACTCGCCATATAGCCTCTAGCAGACTGGTGGGGCCAGTGCTGTTAACGAGTATCACCTGTGATAGCCGGACACATGGCAAACTCGGAGGTGGGTGGCCAGCACCACGACCACTTGATGCACAAACACTCGCAAAGACAAAGATCCCCCGTAAAGCCTGAACACTGTTGGGGCAAGTGCTGTTGGCGAGCACCTATGAAGGCTGGAACGGTACACATGGGGGTGGGTGGGTGGCCAGCACCACGCCCGACCGCCTTTGTCTCCCCGGTGGCGATGTTTACATATCGCACCAGGTACTAATTTTAGGCTGAGTCGACCTAGGGGAGGCCCAGAACCAGTTCAGATAATCATCACCGGTGTTGACGGCGAGCGGCAATCGAACTCGGATCGCCGGGTTCGTAGAGCAGCGTAGCGCTAACCTTGGCACTACCGCTCCCCACGGCACACGAGGGGGTGGGTGGCCAGCACCATGAGCGCTCGACACGCACACACGCACACACAGACACGCACATATGCACACACAGACACGCACATATGCACACACGCACACACGCGCACAGGCAGACATGCGTGCGCGGCCGTGGCCCCGAGCGCTTTGGTGTGGTCCGCCCAGGAGTTGGTGGAGCAGCAGCTGGAGAGCCACAGGGAGGCGCATCTCCTGCAGCTGGCACGGCTACGTGACGAGCTGGCCGGGCGCCAGGCCCTCTTGGACCAACTCACCGAGTACGCACGCACGCACGCAGTCACGCACACGCCGTTCACCCACACGCCGTTCACCTCTGCCGATGTTCTCCAGCTGACGCGGTTACTCTGATTAACTTCACGCACGCGGGAGCTCGCGGACAATATCATGATGTTAATAATTCGCATTCGTAAAGGGGTGCGTTTTGTCCGTAGATCTCATTGTGTCACCGTGCACCGCAAAGCCGAGAAATAAACAGAACCTGCGCAGGGTAAACGGCCAGAACTAGTGGGGGGGGGGGTGAAGGTCAGATTATAAAGGGGCGAGTTTTCAAGACAGGCATAACTATCTCTAACGACTCTGATTGTTTTCCTGAGCAACGGCAAGGCGTTTCAGAGCTTGAGAACTGCGCCGTTGTAAACAGCCCGATTCACCCCAGGCGCCAGAGCTTTAACCTCGGAGTCTTGAGAAGGCGGCGGTCCGGAGATATCGACCCCTCGCTTGGAGAGTCAGCGCGGACCAGTTCCTGTAGACATTGCGCGAGGCCACGTAATGGTCTGGCCTAGGATTATGTCGTTTGGACCTCCACCACCCGACAGAATGAACAGGTGAAAGCTGTCGTTTGTACGAGCGGTTAACTACGCAGCCAGTTAGCGTTGCTTGAGGTCACCGCTGAGCTGAAGAAACACTACTCGCAGCCAAAGTTAGCAATTGGATGCGATATCTGAATGACTGAATTGTCAATAATTGTTACATGTGGCCAGCGTGTTGTTCTACGACATATTATCGAGCTGAAATATAATAATTGACGCATTTAACGCTTTTCATGTGACAATCTCGTGCGTTCCCGAAATAATATTTACCATCATAATGCCAACGCGATTGAGTTCACACTCCGTCGGTAGCCTTGACCGTGGTGCTTAAAATGAACGGGCGGAACCGGCGTGCCGAAAGTCGCTTTATGAAGTAAGGGATCACTTTGATCATCACACGCGGTGATGTTTTGTTGCTGTGACGTCGACGGTGCTCGTGCCGCTGCTGCCACGCGTGTGTGGTGGTGGGGTGGGGTGGGGGGGGCGCAGCACCAACGCGGAGCTGGCGCTGCAGCACGGCGCTCTCCGCGCCGACTACGAACGCCTGCGGAGTGAGGAGCAGGAGAAGAGCAGCCGCCTTCACGAGCTCACGTGGGTACCCCCCCCCCCCCCGCGCCCCTCCCCTCCAAGCCCCCCCAGCCCCCCCCCCCCCCCCCCAACCCAACCCCCCCCCCCCCCCCCCCCCCCCCCCCAACCCAACATCAGTGGCTTATGATATCGCGGCTAACATCAGTGGCTAATGATATATCTAAACCAGTCCAGGCCCTGCCCCTTTCATCGAATCATAACCTCCAATTGTGAATAGTTCATTGAATGGCAAGGTGGGGAGTGGAGAGGTGGATTGTTAAACACGATGAGAGCACGCACTTCTATTTACTGTTTCACGATTAACATTCCCCTGCCCCTTCGTAGGTTGGTGCATGACCGCAGGAATCAAGCTCAGCAGGACCTCAAGGAGCTGGAGGAGACGGTGGTATACAAATTATTTTATTCGCGTTCAACTTGAAGCTCCAGTGTTGTTGAAACTAAGCGAGAACGCAAAAGAGGCCTGCCATCGTCTCATTTGGAGGAGTGACGGGGGGGGGGGGGCATTGAGTGGCGCAGGTTTACAGTGAGGGAAAAAAGTATTTGATCCCCTGCTGATTTTGTACGTTTGCCCACTGACAAAGAAATGATCAGTCAATAATTTTTATGGTAGGTTTATTTGAACAGTGAGAGACAGAATAACAAAAAAAAATCCAGAAAAACGCATGTCAAAAATGTTATAAATTGATTTGCATTTTAATGAGGGAAATAAGTATTTGACCCCCTCTCAATCAGAAAGATTTCTGGCTCCCAGGTGTCTTTTATATAGGTAACGAGCTGAGATTAGGAGCACAATCTTAAAGGGAGTGCTCCTAATCTCAGCTTGTTACCTGTATAAAAGACACCTGTCCACAGAAGCAATCAATCAGATTCCAAACTCTCCACCATGGCCAAGAACAAAGAGCTCTCCAAGGATGTCAGGGACAAGATTGTAGACCTACACAAGGCTGGAATGGGCTACAAGACCATTGCAAAGCAGCTTGGTGAGAAGGTGTCAACAGTTGGTGCGATTATTTGCAAATGGAAGAAACACAAAAGAACTGTCAATCTCCCTCGGACTGGAGCTCCATGCAAGATCTCACCTCGTGGAGTTGCAATGATCATGAGAACGGTGAGTAATCAGCCCAGAACTACACGGGAGGATCTTGTCAATGATCTCAAGGCAGCTGGGACCATAGTCACCAAGAAAACAATTGGTAACACACTACGCCGTGGACTGAAATCCTGTAGCGCCCGCAAAGTCCCCCTGCTCAAGAAAGCACATATACATGCCCGTCTGAAGTTTGCCAATGAACATCTGAATGAATCAGAGGACAACTGGGTGAAAGTGTTGTGGTCAGATGAGACCAAAATGGAGCTCTTTGGTATCAACTCATCTCGCCGTGTTTGGAGGAGGAGGAATGCTGCCTATGACCCCAAGAACACCATCCCCACCGTCAAACATGGAGGTGGAAACATTATGCTTTGGGGGTGTTTTTCTGCTAAGGGGACAGGACAACTTCACCGCATCAAAGGGACGATGGACGGGGCCATGTCCCATCAAATCTTGGGTGAGAACCTCCTTCCCTCAGCCAGGGCATTGAAAATGGGTCGTGGATGGGTATTCCAGCATGACAATGACCCAAAACACACGCCCAAGGCAATAAAGGAGTGGCTCAAGAAGAAGCACATTAAGGTCCTGGAGTGGCCTAGCCAGTCTCCAGACCTTAATCCCATAGAAAATCTGTGGAGGGAGCTGAAGGTTCGAGTTGCCAAACGTCAGCCTCGAAACCTTAATGACTTGGAGAAGATCTGCAAAGAGGAGTGGGACAATCCCTCCTGAGATGTGTGCAAACCTGGTGGCCAACTACAAGAAACGTCTGACCTCTGTGATTGCCAACAAGGGTTTTGCCACCAAGTACTAAGTCATGTTTTGTAGCGGGGTCAAATACTTATTTCCCTCATTAAAATGCAAATCAATTTATAACATTTTTGACATGCGTTTTTCTGGATTTTATTGTTGTTATTATGTCTCTCACTGTTCAAATAAACCTACCATTAAAATTATAGACTGATCATTTCTTTGTCAGTGGGCAAACGTACAAAATCAGCAGGGGATCAAATACTTTTTTTCCTCACTGTATGGGGCAAATTGTCCTCCTCGTGATGTGTTTCGTCTGTTCAATCGCAATTCTGCCGAAGGGTTTAAATCGTAACGTTTTGTTTGTGGTAACATTTGTTTTTGGAGTTGTATTTGATGTCGAGGTTTACTGCAGCTATTCACAAAGGCGTACGTTCCAGAGATGCTCGTGAATAGCAAATTTCGTGGATAATGGCCATTAGCCTACGAATATTGTACGTGCAACATCTGCAGATGCTTCTAAAGCATCGAAGTTTCCTATCTCTCTCATCACTTTATCTCATCACATTCTCTCTCATCACTTTCTCTCTCTCAATGCTGTTGTGTAGAGTTCCAAACGCGATTCACGGACAGCCAAAATCGCGGATAGCAAGTTCGTGAATCACAAGGGAATTGCTGTAATTCCAAATGAAGTAATTTGCGGTGTAAGTTTCAAATTTTGGGCCCTGACGCCGATGGCAATTCGATGGGTTGTCACGTTTCAGGGTCAGGCTTCAATTTGAAGTCGATTTTTAACATTGTGCTGCCACTCCGTGTGCCTTTTTAGCGGTTGCAGAGGTCGCATGAATGAATTACACAAAGTATACGATTATAAAAAAAACATTTTATAAATTTTTCGAGCATTGGCCAGTGTGATGATGTGTGAAAAAACAACCTCCATGACCAGCGCACAGCAAAAGTCGAGGCCTTTCTCCAGCAGTGGAATTGACAAGGGCTTTCAATAATTATTCTTAATCGGCAAATGGATTTACCCTTCAATGTCTTAAGTTTGGACAAGCCTGGCATTCACAAGTAAAAAAAACCCCATTGATTAAACGCAGCAAAACTGATCATGCAGGCAACTGGCTGAAATGAAGAAATTTTATTGTATTTTAATACAGAGAGGATAGTAGATATACATTCGAGTAATTCCGTTTAACGTAGTTGCCACCGTGCCACGTGGCCCCTGCTATCCATGACCGGCTTGGAGGGGGATTGATAGTGAACACTTCTCTTGCCCCGATGGGACACCGGTCCATGTCAGGAGTCTTTGTGCGGCAACCTGTGAAATTGCGGATGGCTGGCTTGGGTATTGCCGCTGTGCACACACAGTTCATTGCTTTTGTGTCTCCCCCGCCACCCTTCCCCTGGCAGGCTAAAGAGCTGCAGACCCTGCACAACCTTCGCAGGCTCTTTGTGCACGATGTTGCCACCCGCGTTAAGAAGGTAACGGGCGAGAGGTGGCCTGGCGGCTGCGAGGTCGGAGCCACCCCCCAACCCCCCGAGATGTTACCGCTGGGATCCTGCGTTCTAAACTAAACTCGCATTTTTATTTCACCAGGCAAAATACACAACTTGGCTACCGTACGTCCGACAGCGTCCGTACGTAGGTCTCTGTGAATATCCCAGGGCGGCGTGCAAGCAAAACACCACGCACGCAACCTGCTGCTCTGCCATGGGGACCTTTTTTGCCAGTAGCTGGTGTACTGTCCACCCTGGGTGATCACAAGCAGTAAACACATTTTTTTACACTTTTTTATTTTACTAGGTAAGGCCCACTTAGCTATATCACTTTTTTCATAAGCGACCTGGTCACAAATGATAGCCCAACGAAGTGGCTTATCACGTGTAAATGTAAAGCAGCCAAATAATCTAAAATGCACGTTCCTAAATCTGGAGGGAAAAACCGGAGGACACGGAGAAAGATCCACCCAACCACAGGGTGAACAATGCAAACTCCAAATATGCAGGCGTCGGGGTCGGAATTGAACCGACGACCTCCTGTATAGCAGGCGAGGTAGTTAACATCTCGCCACCGGTTCAAATCCAGATAGCCACGCCTGATTAAACCGAGTTCTCAGTTGAGAGTTTATGCTCGGAGTGGTCACCAATGAATGCTAAAAAACACATTTATAATTGGCCAAATGTTGTCACGTCACGTGATGGAATTTGCCCATGAACCAAATAATCTGTAATGCATCCATTCTTATCAGTTCCAAGAAACCGCACACACGTTTGAGCCTTGATGGGGGTGACCACGACGTATCGTAGATGTCATAAGCTGTGAGGCTGCATTGTCAGCAGAGGGCGGTGCAGTAGAATCCGTTCTGCAGAGTTAAAGCTCCGGCTAGCTGGACTATTTGGAGGGGGATCCATGCTCTGGATGGCTGAAGCTTCTGGCCATCAGGGAACGCATTTAAAATAAATTAAACAACAAACCCATTTGTATTTGAGCATCTTTAGTTTATCACCAAATTTGTCTCCACATGAAAGATAAAATGATATAACTTACACGACACATCGGCCGCCATAGCCTACTGGGAGTCCGTTTCGGCAGCATTGTGTCAAGAAGAGCAAACTCTGGGCTGGTTTTAACATTCAGTGTCATCAGCTTGCTTGGATCTGTTCGTGAACTGCCCATCTTAGAGTCGAGGAACCCTGTCTTTACAAATATATATTAACTCAAATTAATAATGAGCGTGGTCGTCGAGAATATAAATAACAAAACAAGCAAGCAGACAATGCACCCTTTCGCATATCCGTTTCCACATAAAACATTTTAACGATTTCTTACACATCCCATCAGCCGCGCACGGCCTTCTGGGGGTGCGTCATACCAGCAGCATTGTTTCAAGACAAGCAAGTGTGTGCAGAGTGTGCTCTGGAACACCTTCACCAAATGGTCAACTCAGTGTTGAGGAGGCCCTCATCCAGCAGTGGATTAACAATGAATCTGCGATGGAATGTCTGCCTCATCCTCCGCCACTTCTACAGATGTCGGGGACGGACCCAAAGGAGAGTGCAGCCAATGGCACTCACAAGATCGGCTTCCTGGAGTCAAACCTGAGCCAGCTGACATCTCTCCACAAGCAGGTGTGGACTGTGCTCATATTGACCTCATGTGAGAATGTTGGATATTTATTTTTTTACTTTGTATCTGTACCGTTTTCAGAAGAAAAAAAAAAGAAAATAAAAACTTGAAGTTTTTCGGTGCTGAAATAATCGTTGGGGCCCTACTCATCGGTGGCCTTACAGCTAGATCACTGTGGAGAACGCCTCATCTTGTCACACCCCGGGAGCCAAGCGGGTCCGAGCCTGGTTAGTAACAGGTTAAGAGACTGCCTCAGGAAAACGCCGAGTGATGTGGGCTTGGTCTGCAAGGGGGGCCGCGAGGTGGTAGTACAGCAGTCGATTGTTACATCCATCTGTGCGGGGGGGTTGTGTGATGATAATCGGCAGCGGTGGCGAGATGTTAACTACCTCGCCTGGTATACAGGCATTCATTCGATCCCGACCCTGACACTTGTATATTTAGTTTGCTTGTTATCAACTTCCCGAGAACACGTGGATTTCCCCCCCCCCGTGTCCTTTGGTTTTCTCCCCTCCACATTTAGAAACGGCATGCGTTTTAGAGTATTTGGCTGCTGTAAATTTCCACGCGATAAGCCACTTCGTTGGGCTGTCATTTGTGATAGCCAGGTCGTTTCTGAAAAAACAACAACTACATAGCTCAGGGGGCCTTACCTGGTCAAAAAATCTAAAGTCTTAAATATTTTAGTTTGTCCATTTGAGCCGGGGTTGGCCCGTACATAAGCCAGCCGTGCTTAAAATCGATGAACCCCCCACCCCACCCCGCCCCACCCCACCCCGCCTCTCACCGCGACAGCTGGAACGCGACAACACTGACCTGCGCGGGGAGCTGCCACGCCTCGAGAGGCGCCTGCGGGGCACGGCGGAGCGCGTCCACTCGCTGGAGGGGGCGCTGGCGCAGGCGCGCGAGAGCGCCGTGCGTGAGCGCAGCCGACACCAGCTCCAGATGGAGCGCATCAAGGAGAGCGTGCGGGCCAAGGGCGCCGCGCGGCGCGCCAACGCTCGTGAGTGGTGCCACCCGACCGCAGCGGCTGCCCCCAGCATCTGGGCGGTGTTTGGTGCCCAGTCGTTCTCAACCCCCCCCCCCACCTCCCCGCTCCGATTAGCTCACCTCCGAATAGCACCGTTGGCTACGTACGGTGCGAAAGAAGTTACGTTGAAGCTCCGTTCTCAACAGCCACCAAGTTGGGAAGTCAGCGGAGGGTGGTCCAGCACGATCCATCGCTAGTCCAGCACGGTCCATCGCTAGTCTAGTACGATCCAGTGTTAGTCCAGTACGATCCATTGCTAGTCTAGTACGATCCAGTGTTAGTCCAGTACGATCCATCGCTAGTCCAGCACGATCCATCGCTAGTCCAGTACGGTCCATTGCTAGTCTAGTACGATCCAGTGTTAGTCCAGTACGATCCATCGCTAGTCCAGTACGGTCCATCGCTAGTCCAGCACGGTCCATTGCTAGTCTAGTACGATCCAGTGTTAGTCCAGTATGATCCAGTGTTAGTCCAGTACGATCCAGTGCTAGTCCAGTATGATCCAGTGCTAGTCCAGTATGATCCAGTGTTAGTCCAGTATGATCCAGTGCTAGTCCAGCACGATCCGGTGCTAGTCTCACCAACACGACCTGAACTAAAACCCCCCGCGAGCCATGCACCATGGCGGAGGGCCCTCGCCCAGCAGTGCATCAACAAGAGCGGCGAACTCCGCGCACCGCGAGCACGATTGGCGATTCCGATCCGCGAAATCGACGCGTCACGGCTTTGCCTGCTACCAAACTACGCAACATTGATGAAGCTGGTTGTAAGTGCTGGCGAAACGTCGTACTCGAATTGTAAACGTTGTGGGTTTACCTCCCACACACCGGTGCGCTGTACTCGTAACGAATTGGCACGTTCTGTTCACGTGACAAACCTTACCAATTGGCCGTGTTGGGTGTTGGCGGGTTTTAACGACGCATTTATATATTCATAAGATCCAACCTAAAAAAAAAAATTGTATTACGGACATTTATATATTTACGCCATGGAACCCTAAAAAAACCTGGTAGTAGGGATGACATTGGTCACGAAAGCCTCCTACGTGTTAAACCGCACAGTGTTTTGTTGCAGCTAAGCGTGTGCTGCCGGGTCAGCCTCCGTGCACCACCGCCATCCGAGGAGGTGGCGCCCTCGTCGTGAGCCATCACATCGCCGTGCGTGGAGGTGGAGGAGCCGGAGGGGGTGCTGGAGGAGGTCGCTGGTAAAAAGCCACATTGTCGGCATCACCACAGCGACACGGGGGGGTGGGCGGTGACTTTGGCGAGCCGGAGCGCGTTTGCCGTTTAGTTTCGGATGATTGCGGTTCTAGCCCAGCGGCCGCTCCGGTTAATACTGCGGGTGCGTTAAGCGCAAAATACCACGAGACAACTGCTTTGCGGTGGACGTGAAAGATCCCGTGACGATATTGGAATCTTAGTAGGCCATGGTGTGCCGGGGTCATGGTCCAAATTTACCGGTTTCGAAAAAAAGTACACGCGCATTTGAAACAACTTTTTGAACTACATTTTCCTTCCACAGGGCACGGTGGTGTTTAAGTAGATCCCATGAAGAGGGCCTTTGTTCGGGCAGTTCCCACAGCACGTCACTGATGTGGCTGCACAGTGGGATAAACCTATTAATGATATCCCAAGCACGCACCTTATACGTTTGCCGAGGTCTGGCCGTCTACCCAGACACCTGGTTATCGTGAGATGGCCAGCGAGGGATGATGATGATGATGGTGGTGGTGATTTAGACGGCTCGCCAGAGTAGCTTGTGTTGTAACAATGCCTTTGGTTTGCTTCCCCCATCTTCATCCGCGCAGCGTTAATCCAGAGACTGACGATGCGGGGAGCTAGTTCCTTCCGACAGCCTTCGCGACACAGTCAAGGTAACGGGATGAATGGTCTGTCCACATGGGGTTGGTGGCTGGGTACTGGGACATCTGTGACAAGAGCTTCATAGCTCATCCGATGTCTCCAATATAAATATTCTGATTCTGATAAAGATTCTGATGCCTTGGGCACCCGATGATTCACAGTCAGATGGTTGGGAGTTCAAATCCAGGTGGAGGGACCAACTTGGCCAAATATTATTCGAGGGTAGATAAAATAGGTACCATATTGTGGAAGGCAACATGCTAAATCAACACATCCCCCCACACCAACAACAACCCCTCCCTCCCCCTACCTACCCCACTTGGTCCACCAGTTGTCTGTCACTGCTGCCACCTATCAATCCACCAAACATGCCCAAATATATTTTGATGTGCACCAAAGACCAAAAGGACAATGAGGCACTTAAGGAAATGCTAATGGGGCTTTTCACGTCCTGTTTGAGACTTGAATCTGAACGTTGTTGTTGCTTATTGTTTTATTTCGTTTGCTTTGTACAGACGACGTTGCATTGAGATTCAAGCGGAAGTTTGGACATGCGTAATCACACACCACAAAATCGCGTGCGTGCAAACACACACACACACGGAGATCCTTCATTCAATACCCCCGTACCCTTAGGGCAGTTGAAACAATGGGGCAAGTTTCTCTGTCCATGACCCGTATCGTGGGGTTAAAGTGTGGGTACTCCGTCTTTCTAAGCGCCGCGCCAGCATGGGAAGAGTAGGCCTAATACTACTAGAGGGGCCTCTGGAGCTGCCTCTTAGTGGAGGCCCTTCTGTGAGCAAGAAATTGCAGGGCTGCATCTTGCGTTTCTTTTTGGCCTTCGCCCTAGGGGCACATGTTAATGAGCTCCTGTGAAGCCCGGCATTTACGCTGGGAGCTTTACCACGTGCAGCACACACACACCTAGCCACGAGTGCGGATTTTAATGCACTACACATTACTTTTTTGAGGCCGAGTCGATCCAAACTAAACACAATTACACTTTTTATTTCACTAGGCATGGCCCACTGAGCTTTATAGTTTTCTCAGAAGCGACTTTGACACAATATAGCTCAACTTTTAGTGGCTCATGTGTAAATTTATAGCAGCCAAATACTCTTAACGCATATCAATTGAGGCAAAAGCCGGAGGACACAGAAAAATCCACGGGACCTCCGGGAGAGAGAAACGTGCATTCTACAAATATACAGCAGGCTTCAGGGTCAAGATGGAAACCCACGACCTCCTGCATACCAGGCGAGGCAGTTAACATCTCACCGCCATGGCGATCCAGTGGGAGGTGCGGGAGGATGTTTTGGACGCGGATCGTCGCAGGCGTCCACGAGCAGGAGTTGAATGCGGTTCTGCAGATATTGCAGCGCCCTCGCGCGAACCACCACTGCACGCCAACGCCAAGCGCGCGTGCCGCCCGTCGACATGTTGCGCGGACCGCGTGACGCGCGTTGCTGTGAAAGGATGTGCTCCACCTGGCCAAACAAGCGCAGTAGAGAAAAAAAGGACAAACCAAAAAAAATACATGCGCGGGTTTTGTTCGTTTTAAAATGTTACTGTATCGTGAAACATTTCTGACAACGTAGCAATATAAATTAATTGTTGTTAAAAATGTTAATTTGACTCGAGCACTTGCCTTAATTATTGCCATGATGGTTTTCCAACCAAGTTTAATATTTAAGCGATGCGATAAAGATGCGTCTGCGCTAGTTGACATCTGCATGGTTTGCGAGGGCTCTTCCTGCTTGAATGTCCGCAAAACATGAACTGGACATCTGTGATCAGCTTCACAGCTCCGATTCCTCCAGTCTACAATCAAGATTCTGAACATCGGAGGACTCTTACAGTGAGGGAAAGAAGTATTTGATCCCCTGCTGATTTTGTACGTTTGCCCACTAACAAAGAAATGATCGGTCTATAATTTTAATGGTAGGTTTATTTGAACAGTGAGACAGAATAACAACAAAATCCAGAAAAACGCATGTCAAAAATGTTATAAATTGATTTGAATTTTAATGAGGGAAATAATTATTTGACCCCTCTGCAAAACATGACTTAGTACTTGGTGGCAAAACCCTTGTTGGCAATCACAGAGGTCAGACGTTTCTTGTAGTTGGCCACCAGGTTTGCACACATCTCAGGAGGGATTTTGTCCCACTCCTCTTTGCAGATCTTCTCCAAATCATTAAGGTTTCGAGGCTGACGTTTGGCAACTCGAACCTTCAGCTCCCTCCACAGATTTTCTATGGGATTAAGGTCTGGAGACTGGCTAGGCCACTCCAGGACCTTAATGTGCTTCTTCTTGAGCCACTCCTTTGTTGCCTTGGCCGTGTGTTTGGGTCATGGTCATGCTGGAATACCCATCCACGACCCATTTTCTGTGCCCTGGCTGAGGAAAGGAGGTTCTCACCCAAGATTTGACGGTACATGGCCCCGTCCATCGTCCCTTTGATGCGGTGAAGTTGTCCTGTCCCCTTAGCAGAAAAACACCCCCAAAGCATAATGTTCCACCTCCATGTTTGACGGTGGGGATGGTGTTCTTGGGGTCATAGTTAGCATTCCTCCTCCTCCAAACACGGCGAGTTGAGTTGATGCCAAAGAGCTCCATTTTGGTCTCATCTAACCACAACACTTTCACCCAGTTGTGCTTGAATCATTCAGATGTTCATTGGCAAACTTCAGACGGGCATGTATATGTGCTTTCTTGAGCAGGGGGACCTTGCCAGCGCTGCAGGATTTCAGTCCTTCACATCGTAGTGTGTTACCAATTGTTTTCTTGGTGACTATGGTCCCAGCTGCCTTGAGATCATTGGCAAGATCCTCCCGTGTAGTTCTGGGGTGATTCCTCACCGTTCTCATGATCATTGCAGCTCCACGAGGTGAGATCTTGCATGGAGCCCCAGGCCGAGGGAGATTGACAGTTCTTTTGTTTTTCTTCCATTTGCGAATAATCACACCAACTGTTGTCACCTTCTCACCAAGCTGCTTGGCATTGGTCTTGTAGCCCATTCCAGCCTTGTGTAGGTCTACAATCTTGTCCCTGACATCCTTGGAGAGCTCTTTGGTCTTGGCCATGGTAGAGAGTTTGGAATTTGATTGATTGCTTCTGTGGACTGGTGTCTTTTATACAGGTAACGAGCTGAGATTAGGAGCACTCTTAAAGAGTGCTCCTGTATAAAAGACACCTGAGGAGCCAGAAATCTTTCCGATTGAGAGGTCAAATACTTATTTCCCCCATTAAAATGCAAATCAATTTATAACATTCTTGACATGCGTTTTTCTGGATTTTTTTGTTATTCTGTCTCTCACTGTTCAAATCAACCTACCATTAAAATTATAGACTGATCATTTCTTTGTCAGTGGGCAAACGTACAAAATCAGCAGGGGATAAAATACTTTTTTCCCTCACTGTATTGAGTTCTCACCAAGGGTGGGACCAGGGGAGCTTACCTTGGGCAACTTAAACTTCTCATGCAATCTCAGATCTGTGCATCACGAGGTGGTGATCGAATGGCGATTGATCAAGTTTCGACAAATTTACGCTGGAGTGCTCGCGATATTAAAACGCAACTTATATAACGCGTTACGTTTCCACGATTCGAACGCATCGTTCGAGAGAAAGCGGGAGGCAGAGGAGCTCAAAAGTTTTATCCTAAGCCGGGTCTGAACAGGTGAGCTTCAACAAACGAGAACCTTTAAGCTGTCACTTGAAGGTGGATGGTGATTGGACGCAGAGAACGTGCGACGAGTTCTCGATGACTGAAACAGCTATAGAAGCGTTGCTCAGCCAAGAGCTCGGCTGTATATTAAAACAATGCTTAACTATGCAATTGCGTAGGAAAATTCATTGTTTTTCAATTCCGCTGATCTGGTTGTTTACAGAAATAATTTGCCAAAGAGGCTTTGATGCAAGACAGTTGACCGTTTTTCGTAACCCCAACCAAATCAGATCGCCTGGAAATGCGCCCAGTCTCATTAGGTCTTGGATGCCCAGAAAATGTGACCTTGATTCGTGCGTAGATGAGCGACCACCATGCACACAAAGAGCTTGTCATATGGCTGTGGATAGTGCAGCAAAATCCATAGATTTGTACTTCACATGCCTCCATGTCCTCCGCTTCCCCGCTTCACAAACCCGCACTGACTTGCAGGGTGAAGTACGGTCAGATAATCCCCATGACCTGCACGGTAGTGGGTGGCCCTCATCCAGCAGTTGACTGACAAGATCGCTGTACAAACCACGTAAATGCCACACACACGAGAGCCACGCAGATTCATCTGACGCACAGTTCTCTAGTTGAAAGGCTTAATGTTTCCTGCCTGCTCAATTCTCAAAGTTCACAACCTAATTTGGAAAAACTGCACAATCTTAATTTTCCACTTTTTATGTCAATAACTGGATGCATAAACTATAAAACTCAAGAAATCGGGGTTTAGGTCACATGAGAGCCCAGAGCTTCAACCCAATAATGTGTATACTATCATGTACGTGTAATATGTTTTTGTTTGCCTCTAATGTATGCTTTTAAATTCGTCATTTGATGTATTTATCTTATTCGGTGATCCACGTGATTTTTTGAGCGATTGTTTTTTTCTTCACAAGCAACATTTGGTTTTGCTGTACGGTGTTTTAATTTGGTAAAATCAGGTCTCCATTGAAAAAGGAGAATTCTCAACGGGCTCCTGCCTGGTTTTAAATAAAAGTCACCGGTCTATCAATCTATCTCAAGTGCCAACCGTTGTTTGCAGGTGTTAACGCAATAAGCCACGAAGCAATATTTTTCATAACATTTAGACGAGTAGTTCTTCACCCTTTTCTGCAGCATGCACCCCTTTGGTTCTCCATCGTTAGAACATGCATCATGTTAATAAATACAGAGGTTTCATTAAATAAAGTAGTTGTACTTAAGTGCCCGTGCTTAATTTGTGTTTTCGATTATTTACCTTCTAAAAAAATGTGGCCTATGTCTCGCACCCCCCAGAAAGGGCATCTCGTGTCCCAGGTTAAGAACCACTGATTTTGAACAGTATTCTCCAACTATAACCCACCACAGCCAATCAAAATCAAGTTGTCGCGTAGGCAAATACTATACCAGTTGACTTGGATTATTCGGCAAAACTGTAACGTTTCAAAGCAGAGTTTGGTCGACACTAGGTGGCAGCACTTGTCCATGGACTCTGAAAAAAACAAATGTTCATTGCATGACGGTCCGACTTTGTAATTTATCTAAATTCAGGTTGAGAGAATTAAAACAAGTGCAAACCCAAAATAATACGTGTTGTTTTTGTTCCGTCATTGTGATAGCTAGACGCAGCTATATTCTAGAATCTATCAGATGGAGGAAGTATGGACAAGTGAAGCATTTTAGTCTAGATCCAGTGCTGTGGAAAAAGTGGAACCTGCACCAGGGCCCACCGTGCCAGAGGGGGCGTAGGTTATACGTACACCCTGTGTAGACCGACAGGTCTCTCTCTTCGTTCTGTCTAAACAATAAAGTGACCGGTACATGCGCAGCGTAATCCCACTCGAGCCAAGACCTTTGTGCAAGCACTGTAAGTGTTGAAAGAAGTCACTTTAAAAGTGTGAAGCACGTCCATCAGCCCCGCTCAAGTTTGCTAATCCCTTTAGTGCGAGCGGTCAGCGAGTTTGTAAATCGGCGATTAAATGTTTTGTCACCACTGTTTAGAGTTTTTTTTTACCTGCTTACTCACCTGTAAGGGGGCATTCCCTTTATTTAAAATCAAAGAAAGTTCACGTTTGTCCCAGGTCAAATTTGCACGAGTCGCTGCTCATCCCCGGTGGTCCCGAGCCAGTGGTGGAAATTCCACATTCCTCTGGTAGGACCCCCAACTGCTGTTGCAATGGAACAATAATGGGCTCGGCTTCCTCCCAGTCAGGATATGGACCTCGCGAACGTAGGCGGTTGCGGTTTGCACCATGTATCACAACACCACCTTTTTTAAAAATTGTATTGTAATACAATGTATATATTTAACTTATTTTGCACCGTACATAGCCAGCCATGCTACGGTGCGGGGTGAGGACAACAAACGAACCACCAACAGCAGCTCGAAAGAAATGAGTTTTTTCATCAAGATTAAAACATTGCATAGCTCCAGTGGCTTCCTAATATCGGAAGGAAGAACGTTCCAGATGGCCGCACAAAGCGCATCAGAAAGCGCGCGATGCAGTGACCGTCTGGTGGATGGCCAGCAGCCAAAAGCCGCCGCTGCGAGGGCCACCAGAGTTCACGTGATGGTTGACGCTCTTGGCGAGATCAGCAATGACAGTAAATTACAAAGACAACAAGGACTTATGGCATCTAAAAAAATGTCACTATTTCCAGACACCTGGACATCGTGAGCATAATATTATTCACGGGGCCAGCCCAGCATACGTCTCTATACCAATCTTTGGGATTTACGCGAGAGTCTACACAATTACAAATCAAATCTGAATTTAAAATCACGTCTAAATGTCACTGCACCTGAAGAAAACTGCGTACAGAAAACTGTGGGTGTATTTTTTGTTTGTAAAAACGAGGCAGCCCTTGTTCTATGCAAAACCCTTTTATCTGGCAACAAAACTGACACCTTTTTTTGGCGTCATCT